TGCGGGTGGGTGACCACTTGGATCAGTTTCGCGTAGGGACCGAGGGTGTGCGGTATTGGTCCTCGTTAAACTGTGTTACCGTAAAGTGCCCGATTTCGCGCGCAGGTCGTCGGGCTGCCGAAGCGGGGGTGCCATCCCCTGCGCAGAGGATTAAAATTGTGATGGCATGTCTTCGGATCATCCACCGGGATGTTTCCCAGACCGTCGCCAATAACCCATTGTGCAGCTCCAGTGCGACGTAAATTAACAACGACAACAATAGGCTTGATATTTCAAATAATTTCTACCTTAAAGCTATAAGCAAATCTTTTTCTTTGATGAACATTCGTTTGTAACGATTCATCAATTAATCAATCATATAAACAAATTTTATCTGCATCTGAAGAATTCTCAATCTTTTATTTAGCTTTTATTCAATGCCATGATTAAGTACTGCTTTTATGATATAGCGATTTATATTACATTTCTAAGTTAATTTCGTTTCTCAAGGAAACATCAATTACATACAAAGTTAGAAACATTAAATTATCAATTTTTACAATACATTTCAGTCAATTGGTTTAAATGTATGTTGAAAAAACATGTCTGATGCTATAAATTTCATTGAAAAATTGTATCTCTCTGTTTATAATGACAGAAAAATGATAAAAAAACATTTAGAAAATGAAGTGAGTAATGATTTTTTATTATTTCAACCATAGTATAAATTTTGTTGCTTTTGTCTTTCTCAAATTCTCTTCAATTTTTTGTTATTGTAGCTCTTGGCACCTTTATGTATTTCTGTTCAAGAGCAAATTTTAAAAGCTACAATCCTGAATCCGATTTGCATCAAGTATCCTCCTCCTCATTCCTTCAGGAAAATGTTTCTTCGTATACTCATTGATACGGTATGTTCAAATTGTTATTTATGTATGTTTGGTTTTATGGCCCATAGTTTCAATAATACGAAAGTATTTCTGTATATGTTTTCATATTTCATCCTGAAAAATTAAGTGTTATTAATAACTAAAAATATCTTGTTATAGTTTTTAAAGTATGTGTAAAGTAAAGTGTATGAAAACTTAACCCAATAGCTATATTAGTTGGAAAGATTTTCCTTTGTGTACTCAATGAAATTGGATAATAATAAATAATTTCCAATAATTTTAAAACTTTAGTAGTCAAGCATTTATTAAGTTTTTCACTTGACTGTAACCAAACAAATTGATATGTGGAAGGTTTGAAAATGTCAAGTCTCAAAGGTGTTGAAAATGTGCAATTTTTTTATTGTAATTTGTTTAGTATTATTTTTAATTTTGATTTGTTTTCTTAAGTTTACCATGAAATAAAAGTTTTTAAAAATAAAATAAAATAAACTTCCCGAGGTACTACATGTAAATAACATGTTTCTGAAAGCTTGTTCTCTCAGAAACACACAAATACACGTAAATGGTGTCTTAAAAAGTCTTAATAAATATTTAAATGTTAATATATTTCCCACCAGTTTTGTTATATTAAGCAAATTATTTAGCATCACACGACTATATTTATTATTAAAATTACTCAAAAAGAGTCAAGAGATTATGTAAAACAACTGGCAAAAATATTTGTAATATGTTCTTAAATATTGTATCAATCCTCCTTCCTGTCTTGCAAAGTCTTTAAAATACTCGTGTGTCTCACATAAGTTTTATAATTTTTAAAAAAATTATTCGACATCACATCATAATATTTATTGCTAAAATAACATATAGAAATAATAAAGAAAATTTATAAAACAAATGTTTAAAATTTTTCTTATAGGCTCGCAAAACTAAAACAATTTTAAATAGTCTGACCTTATAACTGTTGGTTATTAAAATAAATTGTATTTTTAGCTTGTGCCTGAACCTATTTTATCTTCAGGGAAGTGACCATTTACATTGTTCTAGTAAGACTTGTAGTAACTTTCAGATCACAGGGTTCCAATCATTGACTTAATATGATCTTACATAAATGTCTTTTTTTTACAGTTCCAACCATTCTTTCCCAACAGCTTCTTGTTTTATAAGTTTTCCTTTTAATCACCATATTTTATTTTTATAATAATTAATAATTTCATGCTACCTCATAGGTTTCCAATATCAGTTATTCCTTACTTCTTTATACTTGCTTATTTAGATTAGATTTTAATAATTGCGTTGCTTCACATAAGTTTTCACCACTTGAATTTTCTTTACATAAATATATAGTTTCATTAAATCCCTCACTGAATAATTCTATTATTTAATATGTGTTACTTAATGCAAGAACAATCAATGTCAATGCTTGTTGAAAATTAATGTAATCAGCTAAAAAGAAACTTACCTTTTTACCTGCAAGATTAAATATAATGAAAATTTAAATAAACAATCAGAAAATAACTTTAAATGAATCCTTGCTGATAAGACGATACTTTTGTTTCAAGGGAAATATTTGTGTACCTTTGTCCTTTTGGCAAAATGATTTATAATGATGTGATTATGTATGATGATATAACTTCTAAATTTTCTTGTTTGCCAAGAAACAAGCATTTATATGTGTATACAGGAGTAGAAAAAATAATGGAAACACTTCTATACTTATACATATTTTGATATTTCTCTAGCAATGATTAGAGAATCACTTCATAACTTCAGAAGTTTTTAGATCATGCAATTTCTCATACACATCAATGAAATTTAAAGCTTTTTAGAGTTTTGAGGGACTGACAGATTTATTATTTAGTTAGACAGTTATTTAGATTATAATATGCAATAATGACATAAAATTTCATACACCTAGATTAAATATTTATGGAGATATGGTCGTTTTTATAAATTTAAAAAAAAAAATTTAAAAACTACTTTTTTTTGTCTCAAGTTTTTTTGTTATAGCTTCAAAAGTATTCAACAAAATTAAACAAATTTTTCAAAAAAATATAAAATTAATTACAAAATTATTGCTTTAAAATTTGAAAAAATGTCATTTAAAACTGCGCTAGATATTAGTAATTAAAGTAGTTTTTTTATTCTATGCATACGCAGGAAAAATTAAAATTTGTTTTTCTTAATTTTATAGTGGATTTTATTTGCCAACTAAAGTGCCATTTTGAATATCTTAAAAATTTGAAAAGTTTCAAGCAATTTTCTAAGTGGTTTTCATACTTTTTAAAAGAAAGCTCAAAATGAGAAGGGTTTTTCCACATATTTCATTTTGTACTTTTAAACAAGATATATAAAAAATTTGCACAAAAAATTTAAAATATCTGAAGTTAAATTATTCTGTTATTATTTCTGGAGAAATATTTTTAAAAAATGTATTAGTATAGGTATAGAAGTGTTTTCATTATTTTGTCCACCCCCTTGTATTTATAAATATATATATATATTTCCTTATCTTACATAACAGGTTGAATATCAAAAAGAAGAGTTCTCGGAAAAACTTTTAAATGAATATACTGAAACCTTGTCTATCTCTCAGGATGATGAAAAGAATATCAGTTATAATTCTTATATAATTGTAAGTGGAAAAAGTTTTTAATAATCTACATAGAATTGGATTTTGTTAATACTTTATTATTTATTTCTGAATATTATAATACAAATTATAATGTATTTAGCATTAGAGAAAGTTGGATATTTGTAATAACTATTAAGTGCAAGTCTTTCTTTTTTTTAAAAAAAAAAAAAAAACTGTTTTTGAAATATTTTTTAAGTACAAAGGAATTATTTTTTAAATTTTAACTTTAAAGTATTATAAGCTTAATTTTCTTTTAATTTTTATTATTTCCCTTATTATCTGCATTGGCATGTATCAAGCATTCAATAAGAAAGTAGGCCTTTTTTTATTTTTAAATTTAACTAGAAATTACTTTTTTATTATTCTAGAAGGAAGAGTGCTATCTTGTGTAATTATTTATAAATTAATTTGTTAATTAATTAAGTGTTTTACTCAAGAAGTAAAAAATATTTTGTTTCCCTTAAATTATATTAACAGTATATAAGCATGAATAACCATAACCTTACTATATTTATTTTTTGAATTAATAGTTTTATACTTTTAGAGTGAATGTTCTTTAAAAATTAATTAAAACATTTTTATATAGAAATTTATTATTATTAACAAAATATTATTAAATAGAATTTGATGTATTGTTTTTAACCTATCTTAGAATCCAAACTGTGTCATCACATTGCATGAAAATACCTGTTTTGTTGCTAAAAGTACTACAGGTCTTCAAACTTGGGAAGTATGTTTTAAAAATATATGTAATGTAAAAAATTCTGCTAATGTCTTATCTAACATCATACAGTTTGATAATATTTTATTTTTAAATTCTAGGCATCAAAGTATTTAGCTGAATGGTGTATAAACAATCCATCTCTTTTTACAGACAAGTTAGTTTTATTTTTTATTAAAATAGTTTTAAATTAGAACAACTTGCTTGAAGCAATTTAATGTTTGTTTAAACCAGGGTTAGCGATTTTTCCGGGAATATCGCAGAATTCACTGGTCTCCAGATCATTGGTTTGCAGACTTCTGTGAATCGAAAACTTAAAATCCGACGAAATGTTTAAACTTGTACTAAATCCCATGAACGAGATGTTTATATACATTCTTCCGCCAATTAGGTACGTAATTACGCGAAGAATTACGTTTCCGCTATTACGAATGACGGATATCAGCCATTTTGAATATTTGGAACTGCACTGAAGTTTGCTACTATCGAGATTCTTTTTCACGTAATTTTAATATCAAACATCAATTTTCGTGTTTACCTGGTTTAAAAGCGTTGCGATTCGTATTCCCGTGATTTAAGAATCGTATATCGCGATTCCTAATCGCCCACTTGGAAGTTACTCATTTTTAAAACCCGATATCGCTATTCTTATTCACGCAAGTTTAAAATCGAATATTATGATTCAAATTTACGCATTTGTTATATCAAACTTAGTTTTTGCGCATTTATAAGTAATTTAAAAACTACGCATTGCGATTCGTATTCTTTCGATCTAAAAATTATGCATCGTGGTTCGTATTTACGTGATTTAGGAATTCAGTATCACAATTTGTAGTTTAGCGTTTTTAAAATCCAATATCTTGATTCATATTCATGTGATTTTAAATTCAATGTCTTGTAAGAAGCGAGTTTTTTCTTGTGTTAATTACTATAAAGGTGTGATATTCTGTATTAATAAATTTAATTCTAAACGTTAGTTCAAAAAATTATGTAAAATAGGACACATATATGGTACATAAATCGATATCTTGATATCGATTTCTTGCACATAAAATTTTCAGGGTTTTTCGCTTTGTGTCACAATTATCCTGAATCACCCCTCAATGACTCATTAAAATGTCAGAAATAATCTCATGTGTTTAATACTTCTTGTTTTTATACTGCTGTCTTTCTTTGCTAAAATACCATTTGTCAGGGTCACAATGTGTTAAGAAGGATCCGTTTATGGAAAATCTGAGAAAATCATTCTAGTAAATTTCAAGTTTCGTCATCTTGACGGTTTGCCAAAGTTGCATGTATCCCCCCCCTTTTCATGCAAATGCTAACTCTGGGGAAAATATGGACAGCAGTTAGATTTGAAATACAAAATTTTATAAATTATTACTTGTCAGCCATAAATATTCAGTCTCCAATATCAAGCTGGTGAGTGAAAATTTTGCACCCTGGTTTAAACTTCTTTTTTTAATTTTGAATCATGGAAATAAATTATTCAACTTTTGTCATACCAAGTGTCCCAATTAGTACAAAAAATTTAGAAGATTGATAAAAAAAAATTGAATAGTACCTTTTATAACTTTTTTGCTTCAGTAACCAGGAATTTATTCTCAGCGAATTTCAAAATTAGGCATAAAGTTTGATTACAGATATCACTATCATTTAGAAAAAGCAATAAAATGTTTTCTTAATAATTAACATTTGAAAAGGTGAGAAACACTCTATGGACAAAGTGTACTGATATTCCTGCAAATATTTCTGTGTGAAAGGTCTGCCAAGCAGGAAAAAAAAATTGATTTTTTTTTTTCAATCTAGTTTCTAAAGCAGCAAGCAATACACTGTAGTCTTCCGTTTCACTTTATATGATTCAAAGTGTGGAGTATTTTTGAGAGACATTTGTTACTTCTTCTGTTTTAAGTTTTAAAATGAAATTTTCTACTATTTTAATTGTTATAATCTGAAAAAAATGTCGCAAAAATATAGATGAAATATTATTCAAAATAATATCAGTTTAGAAGTGTTTTCTGAAAGAGAAATTTTTTTTTTTAGTTGCTGTGCATACAAATTGAGAAACTTAACATAAAATCAAATATTGAGTTGTAATTGAGTGCTTATAATAGAAATAAAATGCCTATTTTAATCAGTAAAAACTATTAAAAATTAAATATAGTCTACTATATTTTAAAAAAAATAATAATAAAAATAAAGTTGAATTAAAAAAATTTATATTTTATAGAAAATTTGTCTAACACACTACATTAGATTATGTTAATATATTTGTTATTAATTATATTGTAACAAATTATTAAATAAATTTTTAAACAAATAATTTTAAAGTTTTTTTTCTTTTTTTAATAATCTTTTAATTCTCAATATTCTAGAAAAATTTTAGAGCTTGGTTCCGGCATTGGACTTTTGGGTATAACAATCCTAAAACTATGTCAACCAAAACAATATATATTTACAGATAAAAGTTGGGAAGTTTTGAATGTTCTTTCATCAAACATACAAATTAATGAGCTAGATTTAAAATGTGATATTCAGCAAATTCCACTTGTATGGTCCACAACCACTGAAAATGATGCTAAGAAACTGTCATCTGATATTCTTCTTGGTGCAGGTTTGGTTTTTTATTATTATGTATTATTCTGCAATATTTAAAATGCCCTCTTTACTCATTTAACTATCTATATTGTTTCATTCAGTTACATGTTATATTTTAACACAATATATAAATTGATTCTCCCTTTTACATTGCTATTATTGGGTATACACAATCTTTTTTTGAATAACATACCACGAAAGCCCGAAAATATCATGTTGAGAGGGCAACATAAGTAATGCAAAGCTGCCGTTGTAAAAATGTATAGCAAAATAGCATTACAAAGCAATTTATTAGGCCACATTTATAGATATGAAAGAGAAAAACCAGGAAATTAAAAAAATTCATTTACCATCAAAATTAGATTTTTAAACATGTTTTGTTTATATATATATTTTCAATGCTGAAAAGTAATATTTTTATTATTTTATTTAAACAAATTTGTTAAAAATTAAAAATATTCAATTCATGGCAAAAAAAAAGTATTACAATAGATCCCAAGCTTATACAGGAGTAATAGTTTAACAGAAGGCCAGTAAAAAGCATATTAACAGCCTAGTTCAGTTAGATTTTTCATTTACTTTTTTTTTTTTTGTCAGATTTTTCCTTAACAGTAAGACCAAATCAAAAGATCGTAGCACACATTAATTTCTACAAAAATATATATATATTACAACTTTTTCTTCCAACATTAAAATTTGAAAACATGTGTCTGCTTTTTAATAAACATGCATGCTTAAATAATGTGATAAATGAGATTTTAAAATAGATATTAATTGATGTGATTTATATATTTCATGTTGGAAAAAATAATTTAGTATTTTGAAATCCAAGAAAAAATTATTTTTACAGACCTATTTTAATTTATTATTCAAAATTTATAAAACTAAAAAAAAATTAAGAAAATTTTGATGTTTTATTATCTGAACAGTTGTGTAAAAAAAATCACGGCATGATAATTTAATTTTGAAAAAAATATTTATTTTTATTATATTTTTAAGTATTTTATAAAAAAGAAATAAAGTATATGTTTTCAAAATTACATGTTTAAAATAAAACATGTAATATATAATTTATTTATCATATCTAATACTGTATTGTGAAATAAAAAAGAACTTATATAATGGAATTAAAGTTTAGAAATTATTCAACTTGTTCTGTTTTATAAAATTTAATTGAAATTAAGTGGAATACCTAATAAAATCTTTTTACATTTTTGGATTATTAATACATATTTTGAATACCACTAAGCATAATCTAACACACAATAACATGAGATACCAGATTATTTTATATTATAGTTAAGCTAACATCATTTTAAGATACTAATTTCTGATGCTGATTTTAAAATTTAGAATGACAAGCAAAATTTAACAAATAATGGCTACTACCTCTATAAAAAAAGCTGGTGTATATTTCTACTTAGCTTTTAAGATTTTTCGTAAAACTAAAAATTTTCTGATATTGATTTATTTTATTTAAGAATATTGTTTTATTGGACCTTAATTCCTTTCATTTGTCCAGAAATGTAATTAAGTGTTCATTTGTTTTTACAGATTTAGTATATGACACTTCAATGGTTGAAAGTTTAGTACATGCTCTAAAAATATTTCTATCAAAAGAATCAACTTGCGCATACATTGCATCAAAAATAAGAGATCCCAATACAGATAAAAAGTTTTTGCGCCATCTTGGTAATAAGAATAATAAATCAAATTAATAACTCAATCATTTGATTTAATATGAAATTCATTGATTTTTTTTTTCCTTACAGATTTAGTAGATTTAAAGTATGAGGTATTGGAAAATCATAAAAAATCCATGTTTGTTTATAACCCAGCATCATCATTTGTACTCTATAAAATAAACTGTAATTAGAAATTTATACCATATGTAAATAAGTACTAAAGAGATAAAAGAAATTGCACATTAAAATACATGTTTTATCACTTGTTTCACCACTATGATTATAAATAATTTCTTGACACAGAAGTAGAAATCCTCATCTATAAATCCCATATTATAAAAAAGTATCCCATATTTACTGTAAATCCTACATGTTGAAAATTAGTACTGTCTATTGTTTTTTATCTAGTAATAACTTTTTTCATTTTATTGTACAAAATCCGATAATCCAATAGTAAAGAATATGTAATAACTATGTTTCTAATTATCAGAACATTGTGCAACATGCTACCTAAAATCATATCTGCAGCTGACTGATGAGTGGCATATATGTGCCAATTCCCAAAGAAACTGTAAATATTGATGAGTGTACTTTTGGTCTTGAAGATGAGAGAGGAAATATTAAATATGTATCCCTTTTTATCTAAACTTATAATTTTATAATACAGTTTTAACATTTTCGCTGTCAAATTTCTTTTGAACGAATATTTTCAGTCAATAAGTGAAATAAAAGTAATATAAGTTTAAGAACATCCATAGGTCTGAATATTATTAAGGGTTTTGTTTAAAATATGTAGCTGATATGAAAATTTACAAAAGAGATTATCAAACAATACAGGGCTGATTGTGCTCCGGAAAAAATCCGGATTTCCGGATTTTTCGCTAACCGTGATCCAGAAGTTTCCGGAGATCAAAGATTCAGATATTTCAAAAAATAATTGATCACAAAAGTTTTTGGAAATCAAATTTTCAAAGGTGGAACTTAAAAACACAGTTTATTTTATTTGTTTGCATGGGGAGCTACTTTATAAGCTTATATTCAAGATTAATATTCATTTTTTATCAGTAAATAGCTATTATAATCATAAACTCAAGAAAGAAAGACAGATTGGTAAATTTTAGTTACTTCTCCAGGTTATCATAGGTATGTGTAAAATTTTAAGTATATTTTACTTAAACTAAGAAATATTGAGAAAAAGAAAGAAAAAAAAATGTTTAAATTTTTTCTAATTTATCGATTTAAACTTTTTTTTTTTTACTCAAGAAATTTTCCGGAATTTTGACTTGGGCTCACAAGCCCACTGCAATACAAGGTCAAAAAAAAAAAAAGGAAATGTTAAGAACCTAAGCTAACATTTCTTCTCAGACTTTGATAGAAGAGGGATGCCACAGATTAAAATAGTGATTGCTAATTGATGCTTGAAATAAACAGATAAAGGCTTTATAAAATAAACCTAAAAACAATGCAGCAATTTAACTAAATGAAATATTTATTTTGATATAAAATATAAACTATTTCAGTTATACAATACATATTGAAATCCTGTTTTTTTTTTTTTTTTAAATTTTACAANTTTTTTTTTTTGTTAATTTTTACTGTTACTGAAAATTGAAGCAACAATAAAGTATATAAGCTTATTGTCACCATTCAGCAGTGAAAAAATTTGATATTTTAAATGTTATAGTGTTGCAGAACTCAAAATCAATAGTGGGCCGCTGATCTGAGACTTTTAAAATGAATCTTGCACCAACATTAAATAATAATTAGTTCTCCGTGCTAGTAATGAATCACTGTCGATCAATTGTAAATGTATGCTGATTTAGCTTTCCCCTTTTTGTCTTAGGTCTTTGCTTCATCACAATTTTAAATAGTTAAAATTTTCTGTAATCTTTCATTTTATTTTACTTCAATAATTTTTTTTTAAATTATATTTAGAATAATACTCTACTTATGGTAAATAATTAGTATTTAACCTACTTATGAAAACATAAAACTTTAATATGGAGCTTCATTGCATTTTTAGATATTTTATTGTTTAAATTTAGTGTCTCATGCATTTTTAAGTTTTTTTTATTATTAAAAATCAAATAGGGGCGTGGAAACATACCCGTGAAAATATACTGAAATCTTTTAATTACTTGTCCTTTGATACAGTAAATAAAATTTCTTAACTCTTAAAACCGTGTTGAATGCATAATGTAGTAGTTATCTCAAAAAAAACTAATTTTTCTAACAAAATCCTTCTTCTTTTTTTTTAATTGGTTACTTAGACTCTTGCTAACACTATAAGTCCATTTAAACAAGTTCTTGGATAGTCAGTAAGAAAATTGTGTGAACAATCATATAGTTAAAAATGTAAATCTCCTCAATTAAATGTGTTCTGCAACATCTAAAATTTGTAACAAAAAACATTTAACTAACATGTTAATTATTAATACTTCTCCATTGCTCATAGATTTTTTTTTTAAATTTTAAGATGCTCTTTAAGTTAAAACCCTAAAATTATGCATATCAACACAAAAGACCAATCTATATGAGTAAATGAAACTATTAATAATTTTTTTAAAGAGTGTCACTTATACAATTAAGTTTCAAAACTTTTTATTTTAAGAATGTAAAAACTATTTTGAATTAGTAATTTATACAAGTTTTGAATAATGGTATTAATGTTTAAATTGCTGATTAATGTAAAATTTAAAAGCAGTTTATTAGCTTCAAAAAATTGACACCGCTTTTGAATTTTAAAGCTCATATTAGCTATTTCTTCCAATATTGGTTTTTGAATCAATGTAAAGAGACATTGGAATATAAATAAAACACTTTATTTCTCTTTCTGAAAGGAATACCATCATAATCATGTTGAACCAAATTTTTACATTCTGATTTTGAGTGATTTTGTAAAGCACAATTAATGTGTATACATCTAACTGTCTATAAAAATCTTCAAGATTGGGTTTTTATATTTCACAACTTATAAATTAATATCTTAGCCAATACATATTAGATCGAACCCTGTTATAATCTGTCAATGCTTCAATGGGACCTAAAAAAGAAATGAAAAAATATTTACTATTATATGAAACACATTATAAAAAATATAAGTGTTTAACAAGTCAATTGATTTTAATTTAATTATTAAAAACATTTTAAAGCTATTAGTACATCAATGAAAAGGACTGTGTGATGCATTGAAAAATATCAATGTGTTCAGCACTGATTTGATGTTTGGATTGGCATTTTTTCCAAAACATTGGAAATTAAGATTTACTTGCTATATGTACATAGACCTTTACACCAGCAATAAAGAGCATTGTTCCCAATAGTGATTCTCCCAATCAAACATCGATTAGTGCAAGCTAGCATGAAGACCATTTTCTTCTGATTTTAAGTAAACAGCCATTGCCGTGAAAATGACTGTTTGAGTAGCATGGGAAATTACTGTAATATTTTCCCATGTTTCTTCAATTGTGACTCATCAAGCACAGATATATGTTTAGTGACACGATGAAACCTGATGTGACTGCAAATAATTGAGAATAAAACTGTTGTTGAACCTCTCAATTATCGAAACATGATTTCTTTTAATTGTGCAAATCCTCTGATGTTATTTTTTTTTTTTGTTAAAATCATTCCAGCCTTTCATCGTTTTCAACTACTATTTTGCTAAGACATCCACATCTTTCATTATTGAGAAATAATAATCATTATTATAAAATCTGAAAAATGCAATGTTTATTTTTAAAAAAATTTTAAACTTTTAGAATTTTCTTTTTATTTTCATAAAAAATATTGATAATATACTATTAACTTGTTATGGGAGGACGACTCATAAGTTACGTGAATCTTTTGGTGCCAGCTGCTCATAAATATTCAGTCTTTCTTTATCTAATAAAGTTTATAAAGATTTTTATGCATGCTGACTCAATATGCATTTTGATTTTATAATTATATTTACTTAGACATAGCCTGAGGCAGGCTTATTTCTGTTGATGAATTACAAGCCCTGGGACTTAAAATGAATCCCAGTGATTAATTTCTTAATGTTATTGAAGTAAGTTTAAAAAGTCAATTTACATAAAGATTTTATTCAATCTATGTTTAACATATGGATTTACTTTTCTATTAAAATAAATATTTTTGATCGAAAAAGTGTTCAGTGAAGCTTCTGCAATTAATTGACACCGTTAACTAAATAATTAAAATATATTTTTTTGTATTTAAATGTAAGTGGCATACACATTTATCAAATAGCTTAAAAGCAATGCCTTTATGTATGCTATGTTTGCTGGGAAAGTATTTTCATTCATTCATTCATTACAATTAAATAAATAGTAAAGCTTAAAAGATCACTCAATGACAGCAAAACATTTCATTAAGGTTGATTTAATTTATGAGCAGGGGAAAATATAAAAACCTATTGAATAATAGTATCACTGAGATATTTCTAATACCTTACAAAAAAAATTAGAATGATTAATGAAAAATATGTAAGACAAAATTTAAAAGGCTAATAATCTAAGTAGATAGTGGAAAAAGAAAACACAAATTACTTACCCACAGCAGCAATTGCTGGACATCTATTATAAATATATTTTGAACAGACATCTTTCATATGTTTCAATGACACAGACTAAAAAATATAATTAGTTTAGTAATATTTTGCATAATTTTAATTTCCAGTCACTAAAAAAAATAAATAAAAAGTATACCTCAATATGTTCAATCTTTTCAGACAATGGTACATGGCTCTTGTAATGAAGAACACTTCTGCAAAAATAAAGTATTTTTAAGCATATTCCTATGTTATGAAAATAAAATGCAAAACAAGATATCAAAAATGTAGATTATAAATTGTTTTAATTAAAAACATTGATGTTTTATAATTTTTTTGTTTGACCCCTTGCCTTCCGAGGAAAATCTAAAGATTCATCCCCCAGTGCCACCACTGGGTTCCACAGAGGTGTGCATAGTTTTGGTTTGTATTGGAGAAAAAGAAGAGGAAAAACTGTTTACTTTTAAAACAAGAAAAAACGAAATGCAAAATTTAAAGTATAACAGTATAATAATAAAAAAATTTAATCGCAATTAGAGCCCTCTTCACCTGAAGTTATGTCACATTCGAAGTTTCTGACCCCGAAGATAGTCATCTAATTCACTTTCAGGCATATTTGCACAAAAAATAAAAACTTTTATAACACTAGGAGACAAAAAGGAAAGCGAAAGGAAGTAAAGAAGCTCATACAACTCAAAAGAAACACAAGCAATAACTGCACGGCTGTAATTTAATTTCCTGAAACTTCCCCTGCCCCCCTACCCTCATCAGAAATCCTTTGAAAACACTCTCAAGGTCATTCTATTGTATCCAATGGTGTGGTAGTAGTTTTACTGATTGCAGCAGATAGCAATGCATACTTCAGAAAGGCGTATATATATGCTGGAGGCAGTTAAAGCATCTGCTTAGCGTATATATACACTCACGGCAGGAAAAGGGTTAATTGTGCAGTAACATAACTAATTCTATCTGTAAAAAAAAAATTTGTTAAATGTAACATGCTTGAAATCAATCTTTATTCAAACTAAACTAATTTAATGTTTACAAAAACTAATCAGACTAGAAATTCATTTTTTATTCTTCAAATAATTAAAAATGAAATATGATTAATAAGAATTTAATAACTTATTTAGATTATTTTTATTGCACTTTAAGATAAAACTGGACAAAAAAAGCTATTTTGATGTTAATAAACACTAAATAATTAGGAAAATATATTAATCTAGTAATTTTAAAGCAAAGATGATAACAGTACTTTTAGTATTAAAAAAAATCAGGGTTGGATAAGTGAGAGCATCTTTTTTAAATATAATTTGTGATATTCAATTCACAAAAGAGAGATTAATAATATGATAGTGTATTCTAGAAACACAATTAGATATGTTAACACAAATATTATTTGATAAATATGATGAATTGAAAGTATCGCACATTAAAGCTCCTTTATGATCACTAAAATCTCTTAGCAAAATTTGTTTTTGAATTTGAACGATGGAATTAATTGATCAAAATGAAATGAACTTGTCACTTAGATAAATATGCTTAGAGGTATTGTCTATAATTATTTTTTTTAAATTTTTAACAAGAAAAATCTAAAATTGCTTGGCTTTTGATACCCTTGTAACAATTTAAAGGTTAAAACTAATAAGCAACACATATTTTTTCCCCAATATGTTAGTTGCTCAGGGTTGCCACTCAATCTGGAAAAAAAATTCCCTGTACTATTATACACAATATATTAAAAGGAAACAACAATTACTGTGCTCTTTTGTGAGCTATATAGGGCTAACTATATTTATTAGTTTTAATTGGTGGGAAAACAGCTGAACATATTTAAATAATGTTATAGTAAGTGAAATAGTTTAGTATAGCTGAAATATCATGGCTAAATATCCCATAGATTACGCTTTGAGTGGGTACCATTTTTTAAAAGACCAAAATAAGAAACAAAATTCCCCGTATTTTCCCAGTTTGCAAGGAAAAAATCAAAATTCCCTGCATTTTCCCTGTTATTTTAGGTGATTTTTAAATTCCCTGTATTTTCCAGGTTTTCCCTGTTCTCCATGTAGAGTGGCAACCCTGTTGCTTAGCTAAAAATGTGCATCTTTTTTCCCTTAAACTTTATTACAAGCACAATATTTAAAAAAAAAAAAAATATTATGTAAAATACAGAATTCTTAAATGCAAAAATTATACTTATGTTTTATAAAATAATTTTTATTACTTCATTCTGCTCTCATTGGATGGAATAAATATTAACACTTTTTAGACTGGCAATTTTGCACAAAAACTATGTCATGTTACTGGCTATTATTTTGGAATTGAATAGGGAAGTTAAGTAAAATATTCTAAATATTGATTTCATGCCCAAATATTGTTGATTGATATAACTCAACACTGCAAGTGCAATTACAAGTTAACTTGTCATCAGTCAACAACAGTTTGGGTAATATTAACTTATTTAGTTCATGCTTACCTGCCAATGTCTTTACAGGTTGCTGTCGTACCATCTAGAGACTCAATTAAATTAACTTTCAATGCATTCTTGGCAATTTGTAAATCTGATTCAGTCATGCTTATACATAACCTCATCCTAAAGAAAGAAAGAAATTGGCAATGAAAAATCTAATTTCAACATATCTACTATACCTAAATAAAGCTTATGAGTTACAATCAGGGGTGTGTGTGCGCAGTTAACTTTAGCTCAATTAAATCGATATATTTTGTTGTCATGCATTTTAAGGATAGCCCACTTTAAAATTTTCAACTCAGACAAAATATGCAAATTAAAATCTTATCACAGATTTAAATTAAATTATATTTTTCATTACATTTTTAAAAGGTATTTAGAAATTCTATAAAGAAAAAAAATGGAATTAATGACAATATTTTCTGGTGGAGTATTTTTACACAAAATATTGAATTCTAAAGAACTTTAACCTCTGGGGATCAAACTACGTTCACTGCATGTTAGAACTGATAATCAAATAAGATTAAAAATTGGTTAAGCTTATTATTATTAAATCCATCTAATAAAACGAGAATTATCATGTTTTTATTGAGTCAAGCTTTGTAATGGCCGAAAGAAGAAAAAAATTATATCATTTTTCTCAAAAATCAGAACATTTTTTGTAACAGTAAACATATATATGACAAAAAGGCAAACTAAATAAAAGTATAATTTACTCAACTTAAGTAAAGGAATAATTTCAGAATTACTTTATTTTGAACAGAAAGCTTTCCATTTTAATTTTATTAATACTGAACAACTCATAAATTCAAATCAATGCATAGAAATTTTTATATAGTACTGTATAAAACTAGTATCAATAAACTAATATTTCCTCTAACCAATATATGACTAAAACTTGTGATTGGGTTCAAAATGTAAATAATTAAATACTTTTATAGTAGGATTTCAATAATCTCAAAATGGAAACACAATTAATATGCCACTTTACATTTGTGTAGAAAAGTACTTTTCGTGGATGATCGCTCAATTTGTCATTTAAAAATTATATGACCTTATTACAATGTGATTTGAAATTATATGATCTGGTTGATCAAAATAGATTATTTGTAAAATCCCGTAAAAAAGATAAATTAATAAGTATGAAACTATAAAAGTCCACCCTACAAGATTTGTTACTGCATTTGATGAAAACAATAAATAAGTATATGACCCTTGAATTCATTACCATAAAAATTTGATAATATAAATTGCTAATAGGGTTTTTTTTTTCTTTCATAGAATGCAGCAACATACCCTCCAACTTTGCCTACCTAGCCATCAGTAGCACTCGCGCAACACACATTTACGGCATCCCGCAATATTTGCTATGCCAAGGGCACAGTGGGCACAGATGAGATGGGCACAGAGGGCCAAGGCCTACTGTGCCCATCTCAGTTTTCTTGACCTTGGGCTCTGGGGTGCAGGAGCAGATGTTCCGGTCAGGTGGTCAGCCGAACGCGGAACCCCCAGTGTTTAGTTCCCAAGCATGCTTGGTACTCATTTATCGACCCACTGAAGGGATGAAAGGCTGAGTCAACCTTGCCCGGACCGAGGATCGAACCAGGGACCTGTGGCACGACAGCGCGAAGCGCTACCGCTCAGCCACCGGGCGTCTTGCTATGCTCATATTGATACTTAATTATATTGACTTATAATTTCAAAAAGCAGTTGATAAATATACGAAAATAGATTTTGAAGCAAGCGTAAAATGTTATTTCATATTGAGAAATTTTTTAAAAAATTAAAATGCCATAGACTTTTAAAAAATCATGTTATTTAGATAGTACAATTTTAATTCACATACAGGTTGGTAAACTTTTCTAAGGATATAAAATTATTAAATTGCAAATGAAAGTTTATTGTACATTTATACAAATTTCAAAGAAAAATAATATAACATCTCAGAAAAATGCAAAAAGTGAACTCTCCACAACTTTTTCTCTACATTCATTCAATTGTTACCAAAAATTTTTTTACTTATTTTATTTAGGAAGGTCAGATTCTAAGATGTTTCCTATTAAATATTTTTTACACCAAATTTTAAAGCTATTAAATCAAGAAAACAATTTAATACCAATTTATTGAAAGAAAAATGGATTATATAAATGAGTTTCTTCCTAATAAAACTTTCAGAATTAGAAAACAATATTTAAAAACTTATATCATCTAAAGCTTACACATTAAAATTTATTCTTTAAGAGGAATGAATTTGTATAGACATTAACCAATAGCTAAATTGTTTCAAATCTTCGAATTATCTATTATAATTAAAAAGTAAAAGCATTAATTAAGAAATCTAATCTATAAGCAAATCTGATTTTAATTAAAAATACCCTTAATTACAGAAACACAGTATCTAAACCGCTCTATGCTTTTTCAGTGATGAATAACAAGCATTTTTTGCTCTTTTTAACTCATCCTCAGTAAATTGTGCATTGTAACAAACTTCCATACTTAATTTAGTGATTAGAATTGATTCTAATGTTTTGGTACTCAGACTCGAGCGATTATCAGTTTGATTTTTACGAATCATGCTAAAAATTCTCTCAGATCCAGCATTACTACGGGGAATTGACAGAATTGAAAGTATTATTTTTGGCAAAGCCACATATCTCTTTATTCCATTGTTATCCTTTAACTGGCTAATTTTATGCCATGCCTCATCTACTCTGGTATGATTTAAAATTTCAGAAGGAAAATTGTCTGCCTGATAAAAGGCAAATTCTAACTCAAGTTGATCAATGTCAATACCACAATTAAACAAATCATAAAAATACTTAAGAGACGCAAAATTTGCATTCTGCCTCTTCAAAATGTTTGCCACAGAAGCATGCTTAAGAAAATCATCCTCTAAAGGAAACTTTTTGAGAATATATTCACATGCAGTGACAAAAAGAACTCAGTTGTATCTTCTGGCGTCAGATTACTCAAAATAGATCTAGCACTTGATCCTATTATAAGAGACTCATCAGGTTTTTGATACTTACGTTTCTGAAATTTCACTTGTAACAGAGAAGACTTGGATTAGCTTATGGTAGAAGGCGAAACAAATCGTACAAGAAGCTCATAATATAAGCTCATAATATAAGCTCATTAAATCATCACACAAAGTATGGATAGAAGGTTGCTCTTTTTGCAGGGCAACATTTACCTTGGTGAATACAGGCAATATCGATGTAACAAAAACACAATATATCTTTGTTTTGTTTGATTTAAGTAACTCTTTTATTTTTTCTGAGGTAGCATTCTCTTTAACATCAGATTGTGAAAAAAAAATTAGCAATGGGTCCCACTGCTCAACTAGTCTCTTTAGAGAATTTTCTAAACTTAACCACCGAGTTGAAACATGTTTTAAAATCTTGTGAAGTTTCACATCACATTCTATCTGACAGTTTTTAAATTCATACTTTCTTTTACTACTCTTTTCAAGGTAGTAAAAAACTTTTATCACCAAATTCTCCACATCAACGGGCAATGAGGCTGTAGCCTTTTTAGCTGCTAGATGAACCAAATGACAAGGGCATCCAATGAATTTTATATTTGGTTGCTTCTGTTTTATATAGCTCAAAACACCTTTATTACATCCAGCCATTGTGTTAGCATTATCAGAACTGAATGCTATGCAACTCTCCCACTTCAGTAGATATTTTTTAAACTCTCCATCAAGAAGTTGAAAAATTCCCTCACCAGTGTTGTTAGTTGATTCAGATAAAGAAACCAGTGATGATACGATTTGTCCTTTTTCTTCATCATAATAATTAAAAATTAAAGGATATAGCTTTTTATCTAATATGTCATTGCTTCCGTCAGTGGAAAGAGAAAATAATGATGTTCTGAGCTTACTTAGAGTATTCTATCCCCTCAGCTGTGGAAACAGTTATTGCCTGGGTCTTGGTATGTCCACACCCATACTTTTTTGCAATGTCGGAATCTGGGAGCATTTTTTTAAATAAGGCGCCAGAATGATCGGAAGCAGATAGAGAAATGTTGTGCTCAATTAAAAACCGTACGAACAATACTTCAGCTTTAATCACACCATTTTCTTCTAATTTTGAAGAATAAAAATTGTTAATAGGTTGCTGATGCACCTGTGCTTTTGCAGTAGCACAATGTTTAGGACCGATCACGTGTCTGCGACAATCATCCAGTCCACCGTGGACAATAGAAAATTCCGAACTACAAATAGTGCATTTCCCAAAGCCTTCTTTTCCCGATACTAAACAAGGAAACTTTTTAGTATATTCCTCTCGAAGCTTTTGATTATTCTTCCTTTTCTTTCGTAATCCATCGTCATTAGAAACTTCCCGATCCTGATTAGATCTTTTCATATAACGATCCATCACAATAAAATTTAATAAATACACAACTTAAAAACTAACGCGATAAAAGCTGGATGAAAAATAATCTAAAATATCAAACAAAAACTTTTAACATCAGAGCAGCAAAATTCAAAGTTGTTTTCAAAATTTTTTATTGAAGTCACTTCACTTCACACGGTATAAAGCAAAAAACTAACGCAGTTTCTCAAAGAACAGCTGCATTCTGGCAGATTACAATGGCGCCGCCGATGAGTAACCCTTCATAATTACGTGGTTTCTCCCGACCAAGGCTAACAATTCATGACGTCATTTTCGGCGATACGCAATTTGTGACGTCACCACGCTTGAGAGACGACAACAGCGGAAGCGGATAGATCAGACAGGCGCTTTCCCTTAATCCGTAGTATTTTACTATTCACCTGTAGCTCCGTAGTTTACCTCCAATTTCGTAGCAACTACGGAAATTCCATAGCAGTTGGAGGGTATGCAGCAGGTAAGGCGGATTCATTGAAAATATTGAACAAAATAAAGTTGCATCCCCCAGTTCATGTCTGAACAAGGAATGTAATTAGTACAATCATTATTAATTAAAATAAAAAAACGTTGGATCAATGAGTCAAATATTTCAATTTTTCATATCTATATTTTAAAAAATCTGCAATTGTATTCTTTAAAATGGGAAGCGATGAATACAAAAATTGGGAATATCAAGGAATAGGACTAAAATAAAGGACAAAATATTTTTCAACAGAAATATCAAGACAACTAAAAACACTGTATAATGCCAAATTTGCAGTTTAAATCAAAAGTTTCAAATCTACAATTGAAATCAAATGTTTCTTATCTATAGTTCAAGTAAAAGTTTCATATCTTACTGGACAGAACATATTTTACAGATTGTATTTACTACAACAGTAGAGCAATAAATAAATAAAATATTATAACATAAATTAGTAAGCACACGAAATAAGCAATAGCATTCAATTCTTTTTAGGCACGTTACACCTACTCAATACAAATAAAAAAATTATCAAGTTGTATAAACGTCAAAAGGGTAATTGAATGCGACATTCTGCATTGAAATAAAAGATTTTAACATTCAAGTTATAAAAAAAAATTATTTACTCTTTACTTACCATTCATTTTGCAAATTGAACATGAAATCGTCAAGTACCATCTTATCCATAACAAAGTAGCATCCCCTAGGTAATAAAAATAATGAGTATAAAAAGCTATATAAGCAAAGGGGGAAAGGTGAATATTCCATTAGTTTATTAAAGCATCACTAATTTATTATGTAATAAATACAAATATTGGACCAATAATTATAAGTGATTTAAAAAATAAGTTTTGATATTAAAAATATACTATAATACTTACCAGACAAAATGCATGCAATTATATATTTATTTTTTGTGGTTCTAGATTACAATGGAGATCTACAGATTTTATGCTATTTGACTAAAAACTATCCACTCTGACAAAATACATTATATAAAATACATTTAAAAAAATTCTTAGCAAATTTTTAATATTTTAAAAAGAAAACTTGTAAAAACAATTATAAAAGAATTAAAACTTTTATAAAACATAACAGCTTGATATTATTCTAATAATTTGCAATGAAATTCCAAACTGTATTTAAATTACATAAACCTTAGCACAAAACTAAACATAAATTTTACAAAATGACACACTATTCACTAAACACTATTTCAAAAATGTTATTTTAGTGATTAAACTAATTAAAAACTTGTCAAAGTTAAACAATTTTTAAGCCCATCTCTAAACACTCAGCTGTTTTAAAGGGTATATAATTATCATACTGCTTAAAAAGTACCATACATTATTTTTGTCCTAAATAATACCATCTTAGTTTAAGATAATACTTAAGACATTTTTATTACAAATTTGAACTAGTTTTATTTGTTAGTAAATATTGAAAACAGAATAGACTGAGAAACAGTATAAGAAGCCAAGCTTTAGCAGTTTTTATTTTCAAAAATAACTAATAAACAAAACTGACAATAAAAATTATATTTACAAAAATTTTAGCAAAACATTAAAAATAACATTAAAAAATATCTCATTAAGTTATCTTAGCAGCTTTCCCCCTATATGATTAAGATTAGAAAAAAAATTCTGGGAAAAGCATTAAAATATTTTAATAGAGTTTAAGAAATCTTTTGAAATCCATCATCCCTTAAAAACACTTGCCTTTTTACTCATTCCATTTTTTTTAAATAATAACTTACTGCTTAAATAATAATTACATTTTAGTAAAATCATCTGTGTTTATAGGTTTAATTCTGATTACTAATATTTTCTTTGTTAGGATTATTCTTAACTGGTTAAATTTTTATAAGTTCCACTTTTTCTTCAAGGGAGGTATAATTAACGAATTTTTTAAGTGATTTTAAATTGTAAAATTAGTTTTTAAATAATGCTTTTTTTTAAAAAAAAAAAATGCTATTTTAAATGTTCTTTTCTACAGAATTTTCAGTTTAAATTATAAAAAAAAAACTTTCAAATTGTTTATCAATTAATCATTTTTTTTAGTTTACTTTATTTAGAAAAAAGATTTATGCTCAGAAATTGTCTATTAGCGTGTCTTTAATTATTTTTTAAAAACTACAAATTTTTCTCAGAAGATAATGTGTGAGATAAAAAAAAAAGATAATGTGTGAGAATAACTTTTTGAAATACAGTGGAAAGTCGCATATCCGGAATCTGTGTGACTTCCGGAAGTCCGGATATTAGATTTTTCCGTATAATAGACCCCCAAGGTAAACAAAGCTTAAGACAATCTGAATCTTAGAAGCAAAAATAAACATTATTTTTTGGGCAATAATGTTTTAGTATTATAATGATATCTAATCAATCAAACACAAAATATTAGAAAAAAATTATTATTGCTTAAAGTATAGAAAACGAAAAAAATTTGAGTTATGAAAATATTAATTGCTCTCTCCGCCACTTTGAACTTGAACGATTCAAGCAAGAGGGAGAGATTCCCGTCATTCATTAAGGTAGGTAGGTGGAGGAGAAAAATTCATTTCCTCCTTATTTGCCATTCAAGTTGAGGGCGGGGAAGTGACAGTCTTATTATCTCTGTGATCATTGGCTATCAATCAAGCGTAAAAGAGCGGCATGCTCTTCCCCTCCACATTAACGTTCGATGTGTTTACCCTTTTCCACAATATTTCTTCTTTCCCTAACACTCTAAGAAAAAGGCTCCAGGAAGTGCATTTTTCACTAGCCAGCTGCATAAAAAAGAAAGGGGGAGGGGACTCAGTTGTGATATTATGAAAACAAATCTCCCTCCTTTCCTACATTCCAGAGGAGGAGCCTCACTAACGGTCACGGTACAGGGTTGAGAAAGAAAAAAATGAACAAAATAGTTGCTTTTAGTTGCCTAAAGCATGAAAATAGTAGCCAAAAACTAGGAAAATAGTTGTCTAGTAAGAACAAAACTTCATCAAAAAATATGACTAAAATTTTGTTAATGACTTAATTGTCATATATTATGATCCATTCAGTCAAGTTGGTGGCAAATATGATAATTTTCATATAAATGTTTATATATATATTAAAAGTGATTACTAAAATTCGAAATTCATGCATTGTAATACCGTTAAAAAATTGTTTTGTTTTTTTTAAAAATAAAAAAAATCATGCAGAATTTTGCAGCAATAATCATTGAAAAGGTGATCGAGAAATGAAACAGACTTACAATGGAATTTGTGCAGATTGAACGAATTAAAAAGTGAAGACTCAAATTTGCAATTCAAAATTTTTAACATTTCTTATTTTTTAAGAAAAAAAATTTCAGTGTGTTCAGGAACTATTTAGCGGGACGCAGATTTTTCACCAATTTATGCTTGAAAAAATAAAAAACATCTCTAGGAGTACAGAAAAGTATCCCAATAGTCTCCTTTTCTTTAAAATAGTTGCTTTTTTAGCTTTTTCAGGCAAAAAAATTGCCATAGTCACCTCATGCCAAAAATAGTTGCATTTTAGTCGCCTGTGGCATCCCTGTGGTAGATCTTTTATTCCCCTTTCTGGTGATTTATGGGTTCAATGCATAAATCACTAGAAGCTAGAAAAGGAAAAAACATGTCAAAAGACATTTTTTTTAAGAGAGGGGAAGATGAAGAGATGTTTGTTTATTTTGATAGTTAAAAAGTGTGAGGAAAATCAACCCTTCCAGAAAAGGGACGTTCGAATACGGGACGTTACACTGCATATGCATAAAATAGTATAAGAGGGTAATTTAAAAATTGTTGAAGATCAAATTCAGTTATTACATAATACTACACAATTTGATAAATTTTTACGCTGTAAAAGAGGTGCCGTTTCAAAATTCAAAGTGCCCTTTTCCAAAAGGGAACTCTGTGTACAGGGTACTAAAGAAAGTTGCAGAACACAATCATTCCTTCTATTAGTGTGTTAACATCTTCTTAAATTAATTTATATGCATACAGGTAAAAAAAAGAGAAGTAAGAAAGTAGAAGAGTTTAACAGAATAGAATTTAACGGAGTTCCTTAGAATACATACCACAAACCAGTATCTCTATATGTTATATGAAAAGTTTCAAAACTATGGCATCGCTTCTCTTTGTGAATATTATTAACCAACTTATGAACGGTATGCTACAAAGAAGAAAACAAGGTTAATCATCCAAAAAATAATATTTCCTCAATATTAAAATTGATAATAATTATAAAACTTACATCTCCAATTGAACTTGTTTTATCCCAACTGCCAACTATCTAATTAAAAAAGAAAAATTACAAAATTATAAAATATGATAAAAGATAATACAAGCCACTTGTAATAATTATACTGTTGTACAAGAGCCCAATTAAAAAATAATTTAAAGTTTAAATATGAATAGTTATAATGAGCAAAATGATAGCAAGTCATTCATTTTTTTATAGATTGATTCTAAATTTTTAGCATGTTTCACAAGTTTTAAATTTTATGACATTTAAAAAAAATATGAAAATATCACATGAATGGCAGTATTAATTGAATCTTACAAACAAAACTCCTTAGAATAATGTGCCATTCTACTCACAAATACAACATTAATGAAGGGATATACAGCACATTTGCTCAATTTTTTTTAGCTTCAGAAAACTTGTTATTCTTTACACTCAGCTGAAAATTGATAGATAATTAAATTCTACATAGCAGTATTATTATTTAGATAAAATAATCTTACTTCCTGATTGATTACAACAATTATTATTTTCACAGTTTGGTGCAAAACAACTCTTGTTCAGCTTGTTTCATTCCCATTGCTATTATTGAAAGCTAATTTCATAAATGACATCAAAATATTTTAAACTTCTTGTCTCCTGCAAATCTTGATACAAAAGATTGCTTATTGCCAAACTATTAAACAGCTTAAAATAATGCTAGATTCTCCATATTGGTAAAGAATTCAGACAGAAAGATTATAAAACAAAAAATAATTAATTAAAATTTTGTATGAACACAGAAAAAATGTCACATTTAAAAGTAAAAAATATAGACTTTAAATCAGATATTGACACTCTCAAACAATTTCTTTATTTTTCAAACATTTCTTGCCCAAATCAGTTTTGATGTCGAGGGGAAAAAAACCAACTCAATACAGAAATAGAGGAAATAATTTTTGGTTTTAAGTTTCGGTTTAGGTTTATGATAAATAGTTGAACCCCTAAAGCAGTAACTGCTTTAAAACTATAAAATATTTCACAGAACAAACCCTAATCCCATATTTTTCTTCCCCTTTTATGCTACACTGAATGATACCAAAGCTAAGTTCCCTAAACTTATAGTTAAGTTATTAGAATATTATGAAAAACTATACATACTTTAAATAATACTTATTTATGTATATGAGATTGCTATTAAGAGAAATGAGGTATTTTTAATGTATTTTATTATGCAGAGTTCAATAAAAGCTAACCTAAGCTGGCAAGTAAATAGAGTACAATTTTGTACATTATTAAGATAGAAAGTAAAAGAAATTTAAATATCTCTGACTTTCATTTTTGAAATGAAACGCTTTATTGCAACATTAAATTACAAAACTGAATATAAAGTCAGAAGTTTCCAATTTATTTACAGATATTAAGAATTTAAAATAGGAATGTAATTTAATTTTACTTACCGTTTTTGCCAAAAGCAATGGATAAATATCCTTTGAATCATGACCACAAGTGTCAATAGCAACAGCTACATGAGCAAAAGGTAACCAATCATCTCGATCTCGAACCTATAATAAAAAAATTTTAAACAATGATAATGAAGCTAAGAGCATCAGTTGCAGCTAATATTGAAAATTATTTACTGCTTAATTTATTGGTTGAACATAGAGAAGTTAACACAGAGCTAAATATTTCAACAGAAAAGGTGAAACTTGCAGTACTGCGGTAGAAATAATTACATTTGAATGCTATGAACAAAGAACATTCTACCTCCGTTGATACGAGACAAATTTAGATAATGCCAACTATAATTTACAGGCAAATCATCATAGTTATCTAAAATTACAGCAATCACTATTTAACCATGTTTCAATTTTGCAAGACAATAAGACATCACACAATCGTTGTTTTTAAAAATGCAATGAAACATTGATTTTATCAAAAGAAATGAGAAATATACCTACTTTAGATAATAAAAATAAATTTTTGGATAGTAAAAATTTTCTTTTCAACAGTTAAATTGAAACTATCAACCTAATAAACAAAACATAATCTACTTCTTCTATTTATGGAACAAACTAGGAAATTTCAGACACATTTTTGAAAGAAATAAACAATTAAAAATACATTAAAATAAATAAATACATAATATAAAAATAAAAAAACGTCTTTATAAGTGTCTAGAACTAAAGTTATGTAAATTTACTCCCTTATAGCTAGAGTTAAACTACAAAAAAAAAATAGAACATTAAAAATAAAATACTTACCTCACTACCAGTATATCTGCATCTAGTTACAAGAGGAATTTCTGCGGTATAAGTATTGGGTTGAGCACTGAAATGTTTCTCAGCTAACTTCACGAGATCATTATGATTTATGTCTAAAAGAAGTTAATGAAATAAAGAAATCAGTTATAAAACAAAATATTCTAATGAGAAAATTTTGTGATTCATGCTTACTTATAAAAGTTATAAATTTTAACACTATTTCAAATAACATTGATAATAAAACCTACATACAAAACACTTAAAAAAAATTTGTATAGCAAGCATAAGAAAACAAAATTAAGATTTTCACTTCATTAAATTAAAAAAAAGAACATATTGCAAGTTTTAAAAAAAATAATTAAGAAATGAAAACAAGTGAAAAAAACTATATCTTATACTTTTTATTTTATATTTTAATTTTATAACCAGTGTTGAACAGTCGACCTAATTCTGCATTTACAACTAACACTGTCAACTCCATACCATTTTAATTTTGCGACAAACTAGCCTTCATGGAGAACTTTTTGATGGAAGAACCCACATTTGCATACATTGAAAGGAAAACCTTCTATGGCTATACAGACATGGTGATTCTAACCCATGATTCATCTACCCCTGAGATACTTCATGTACGTACAGTGGTCGTATCAACCAGCCGCGGCTGAGTTTTGAACTTAGGTACCTCAATGAGCTACTTTGGCTCTGTGTCTAATATTTTATGACCATCGTTGAACAGTCAAACCAATTTTTTGGGTTTACGACAACTAATGTTTAACTGTGTAGCCTTGTAATTTTGAACCAATCCAGAAGACAAGGAAACTCCTAGTTTCGTACCCCCAGTGGTATGATTTGTCATGGGAACATGGAGTACTTTGTGACTCGACAGATTTAACATGCATCAGTCACCATTTACTACACGGGGAGTCTTCGGCCGGTAGGGATCGAACCCACAATCTCTTGAACATGGGATCAGTGCCCTACCAACCAGGCTATCCCGGCCCCTGCACCTTATATTTTATTTCATTTTATAACCATTGTTGAACATCTAACTATATTTTTGGGTTTATGACTACTAATATTCAATGCCATACAGCCTTGCAATTTTTAACCCAATCCAGAGGACAAGGGAACTCCTGGATCAAGTATTGGAAGAAATTTGCCTTTGTGGAGGACTGTTTGATGGAATTAACCCGCATTTGCGTTAGATGGAGAGGAAGACCACGAGAACCTCCCACGGTTAGCCTGTCGGCAAGGGGACTCTAACTCATGATCCTTCTACCACTGAGGATATTTCACGGTAGCACTGTGGTCGGTGCAAGCCGGATGCAGAATTCTTATCGACTAGCCATCGCTGATTGGAAGGTGAACACTATCCCATTGAGCCATCACGACACCCTGTATCTTATATTGTAACTACAAGGGGTGATCAAATGAAAAGGTACGAAACGACGTAAAAGCATAACAGTTAAATATTTGCATATTCCGCTATGGGAGAACATAGCGAGACATCTCGGGATGCGATTGGAGTCTCTGACTGGGATCGGAGCATGCGCTGGTGCCCGCATGAGCAGGAGAGAGCAGAGGTTCTTATCAAAAGCGGCGTCCGAATGATGCCGCAGTTCGTATGAGGACTGGATGGCGTTCGCGTTGCAAAATTCGACGATTGAGGAGCAGCGAGGAGTTATCCGATTTCCTCGAGCACAGAAAAACCATTAAGTCCGATGCGTACTGTGAGACACTCTGACGCCTACGCAGGTCAATCAAGAACAAAAGACCGGGGCTGCTCAAGGAGAGTGTGGTTCTGCTCCATGATAAAGCGCATCCACACGTCGCCAGTCTCACACACGTGGAACTGGCCAAGTTCAAGTGGGAGACGTTGGACCATCCGCCCTATAATCCGGACTACTCGCCCTGCGATTTCCATGTGTTTGGTCCACCTGAAAGGGAAGCTCTTCAACTCGGACGACATACTCAAGGACGCTGTGAAGGACTGGGTCTCGTCAAGACCACAGGAATTCTGGAAACAAGGAATCCTGATGCTTGTTCATCAGTGGGATCGCTGTGCACAGGCCTATGGTGTATATTTTGAATAAAGTCTACATTTGTACCCACCGTGTCGTTTCGTACCTTTTCATTTGATCACCCCTTGTATCTTGAACAGATATTTTGAACTTAATTCATTAAATTAATAATTTCATAATTTAATACTTACTTCCTGATCCAACTAGGGCCATTCGAGATGACAAAAAATTATTTCGAACATAAAAGGTCAGATCATCAGCAGTAATTGTTCTAAAGGAAAAAGAAATTTAGTTAAAGATGATTTCACACTTTTAACAATATTCTCTTGGCTAAAAAGAAAAATTGTTCAATTAATTTAATAAATAGAATATTTTATTCGGTAAGAAAAAGAATTTAGGATCTTTAGATGAAACATACTTAATATTTTCACTGGGTCCAAGGATGGATTTACCAAGTGGAGTTCCTTGATATGCAGTCAAATGTAAATAGTCAAAAGTTACTAATCTGTAATCTGTTTCAGCTTCTTCCAAAGTATTCAAAATATCTTTTCGAACTTCTTCCATTTGTTGGGAATCAAATTTTGAGTTTTGCACGCAATCAGATAAGATATCCACAACTAGAAAACATTAACTCATGTACTGTAATGATAACATTTATGATCAGGTAATCAAGATCAGTAAATGACAAGTTTAGGTAGACAACACTTAAAAAATGATAAATAAAATACAGTACCTTCTGATAAATAAAATTGAAGAAATAAAATAAGAAATTTCTGACTGCAATAATTGTAAATTTGTTACAATTTTTTAACTAAACAGATAACTTTAGCATTATTAAATACATTTAAGCAAAAAAAGAGAGAAGAGTATATGTTCAACTTATACATCTAAGAACGCTCCATACTCAGGTGTTTTCCTAAAAATCATGAAGTACAGTAGGGAACCGATTATCCGGAACGAACGGGACCATTGCCATTCCGGATAACTGATTTTTCCGATTTTCTGAATCGCTACAAAAAGAAGTTTTTTTATTATTAAACCAAACTAAAAAAAAATATTTGGAAATAATCTTAAAAAGAAGAAAAAACGATGAAGGAATACACTAATGATTATTTCCAAAATGATGGTAAGGTAAACATCTATCAAAAAAGAAAGAAAAATCCTAAAATCTTATGAGAAAAAAAACATTTGTTTTAAAAATGGCAGGAAAATTTATCGAATTTCATTCCGGTTTTTTGGTTTTCCGGTTTCTGATTTCCGGATAATGGGTTCTGTACTGTATCTGTAATTATCTTGTGTAAGAATGGTAAATAACTATACAAAAAAAAAAATTTCAAAAACTAGCAGTAGTAATTGCTTTCAAAAACAGAATAAAATTTAAAATCAACTAATACAGAAAAACAAATTAAACTTGAGTAATTTTTCTAATTGTTGAACAACAAAACTGAATATTTGAAATAAAATTATTGATTTAATCTGTGCCTATAAACTACTCTTAATTTCTATTTAAAGTCTAGCTCTAAAATAATTGTTATCTTTGTAGAGTGCATCAGTTAGAGATTACCACCAATTTATAGTAACGCAAACCTCCAATTTAAGGTTAGGTATCAAGTCTCAAAAATTTTTCCAGTGCTCACTAGCTACTAAATGTAATAAAAGTAATGGCCATTCTTTAAAATGTCAAAAAATCTTGAAATATTTAACCATTTTAAAAACAATTAAAATTATTAACAGTAAAATTGTAAAGATTATTGTAAACAGATGTGAACAGCAATTTTTAGAAAAAATGAAACTGAAAGGGTTAAGAAACTTATTTCAGCATTTGGAGAAACTATCTTTTTCCGTTAAAATTTTATATGACTATTTTTTAAATTAATTCTTAAAAACATATCTTTACAAGTTTTTATAAGCAAAATCAAGAATAAAAATATTAATGTGAAAATGCAAATAATTTAATGCAAAAAATTTCTAACCAATCAGCCTTGATAAAATATACTCTTTCATAAATTGTTAAATATCATTAAACCTAAAATATAGTTTTAAACTATGTTATCTGCATAATTTAATAAGCATTATTAAAACAAAAATATTTACTCATATAACTAGATAAGTTTACTTTAAACTATTTGTTTCTGCCAAACTTATAACTTAGTTTGTTTCAGCTTTTCATTGCCAAAATGAGAAAAGAGGTTTCATCAGTTTAGTAACAATCAGTATATTACGCATTAGTACTTAATATGACAAATAACAAAACAGGGTAAATATTCTAAATATAATAGTCTCATACCTTTACTTATATCTCCAGGAAGACATTTTGCAAAAATGGCTGTTTCCTCTCTATCTGTGTATGAACTGACCTGTGCACCTAAGTTTGAGATTTCTGCAGCAATATCTTTTTCTGACCTTTGTTTTGTACCCTAAAATTATGTTAGACAACATTAATCCCTAAAATTTATTAAAATTCTTTAAAAAAATTTTATGTATTTAGAAGCACTTAATTTGTCTTTGCATGAAACATAATTTACCATAGAGCATATTTAATCCTATTGGTAGCTAAAAGTTAAGACATAAAAACACTATACGTAAATTTTCTATTTCTTTTCCGTAGAAGTTTTTAATCAATGATTTTTTGCTTCATTCTAAAATGTTAATTGAAAAAAAGTATTAGGCAGTATAATTTAACTGACATTCTTTTTTTACTCCACTTTTTTTATAATTCCCACTTTCTTTTTTAATATGTGCTTGCTTTATTTTATTTCAATTATACATTTCACATTGTAAAATTGTGGTTATGATGGTAAAAGAAAACCACGTATAACAATTAAATTGTAAATAAACTAAATTGTGATTAATTACTAAATTACTACTATGAATTGAACTAAATTGTAGTAAGGTTTTTAGAATGCAAAAACATTTTAATTCAGTTGCAGAAATATCTAAGGCCAGGTCTAACCAGGCCTAATATCTAAACCAGGGGAAAAGAAACAAGGTTGCACTTGATTGCAAATGCTTTGAAATGATACACAGGGAAAAATAATAAAATAATTATTTATTTATTTTTACCCAAGCTTATACAAAGTAATGCAAAATTATGTGATAAAAACTTGAAGAACGCTATTTTTTTCTTCCTTTTTTAAATTACACACGCCATTGTCTTCTCAGACATAAGGCGTCTAGCAGTCCAATACAATAGGGAGAGGGCATGAAAGTAGTCACAGGAATGAATGTCAACAAGAGAGGGACAATCAAATAGATGCTCCCTAGTCATAGGCGAAGTGTTACAGAGCACACAAAGAGGTGAATTGACTAGGTTAATTTTAAATAGATGGGACTGCAAGTAGTCATGTCCAGCAATTATTCTAAGACAAGCAACTCCCTCAGCCCTGGGAAGGAGGGAAAGATGAGAGTGCTGCCAGCCATCCAGAAGGCTAGACTAGAATTTTCCATCCACTAAGTCCCTAAGAGCAGATATATATATATAAACACTATAACAGATATATAAGCTGTTGTAGCAGTGCTACCTAGTGATTAAAGAATAGAGTATGTGAGTGTGTGGTCAGAGCTGACAGTGTTGAGTTCTTAATGAAAAATTAAAGAATGAGTAACAGTCCATTTTGGAAATTTGTGTCAGCCTTTATATTTTATCAATGATAATTCAGTTTTGGAGAAAAAACTAAAAAGATATTTGTACATCTTTTATTGACTGTTATGCAACTATCTACTAAACTAAAAGCTAAATCTTGCATTTGTTTGTTTTATAGCTTGTTTTATTTTAGCAGATCTTTAATATTTACTCTCAGTGTTATGTTCAACATTTTTAATTAAAAGTTAAAGCCATGTAAATAGTTTATAACAGATAAATTAAGACAGATTGAGTTTAATAATAAAAAATACTAATAAAAATTTTTGAATGTCATTCATATCATTTTTTTTTTCATTTATTAAATTTATATGTTAGACAATAGTTTACCTTTAAAAGCATTTTTTCAAAAAAGTTTCCAACTCCATTAGTTTCAGGGGATTCAAAACGGCTTCCAGCATCAATCCAAAGACCAACCGTAGCACTACCAGAATCAGAAGACTGTGTTGCAACTTTAAACCCATTATCAAGTTCTGTGACTTTTGTTTCTGGTAAATTTAAAAGGGTTTGTGCAAAAGTAGCTCTTGTTAGTTGATGAGCTTTTCTCACCTAAAAATATCAAAATTTTTAAAATATATTTATAGTAAATATAATTTTAAATCTTATAACATGGATGAAAAGTTTTAAAAGATGACATTTATGATTCCACCTTTCTGATAATCTTTCAAAATAGAAACAACAGGGTTGGCATGATTTAAATCACCTGATTTTTAAAAAAATTAAATTAACTGTAATTTTTTAAAAGCCTTCAATTTACATTGATTTTTTTTTTAAAAAATTAATAGGTTAAGAATTAAATATTTGTATACAATATAATCAATAAATACATTCTTCAGGGTACAATACAATATCATTCATTCATCAAGATTTTTTACAAAGCAATAAAAAAAAGGATATGCATGCAAATTATTATATTTATATGCATATCCCTTTCATTTCAATATTTTAAAAATATCAACAATTTGAAATGTTTTTTTTTTTTCAAAACATTTTTAAGTATAGTATTTTTTATACAATATAATAAATAAATATATTGCTCAAAATAAGATTTTTTTAAAGTCTTATTTCATTTAAAATGAAGGATTTTTACTAACAATGAAAGGGATATGCATATAAATAAGTTTCTTTCTTCTTTGTAGTAGACTAAAAAAAAAGGAAGAGTAAACATGAATAAGAGTAGTAAGAAAGTTTTAAATTATTTTTCATTGAATTTGTATAAAATAATATGGCAAAAAGCATATTTCAATTATGCCAATTTAGTTTTAAGCTTATTTCATGCTTTAAAAACTTATTAAATATAGAGTTAGTGTGAATCAAGACTTACTCCACCCAGAATAACTTAGAATCAAAATGTTTCAATAATATGTTTTAATCTAAATTAATTTTCTCGTCATTAGATATCCAATGGAAAAAATAATCTCTAATCATTTCATTTAATAGTAATGTAAGTATGAGTAAGGGGATATTTCCATATTGGCACTTGTCAGCAATTGATTAAAAAGTTATACATTTTGCCTTGAAGAAAGGTGGTACAAACAATGCTCCTTTTCTGGGCTTTTTTTTTTTTTTCTTTTTAAATTTCTTGCTTGCCATTGCCTAGGTTGGCACCAAAATTTGGTACAGGTACAAATCTTCCATGGGTAATTTAATCAAACATAATTTACAAATTCTAAGAGAAGACTTCCATGTTGGTAAAGATATTCAAGTAATCACCAAAAATTAGTGACCCCTAAGAGCCGAAAAATACATCACAGAAGTAAGTGAACTAAAAGGGTAGAAGATTTCAAATTTTTTTAAACAAAAATTGCAAGTTTTAAATGCTTCTGGCGATAGTAGCTAGTGCGAACAAGTGCCGGTAAGTTTTAGGTACATATAGAGTACAGTGTAGTAAATCAAGAGACAAAAACAAATTACTTTGTTATGGATACAAAACTAAAACAAATAGAATAATAAAGTGTAGTTTCAAAGAAATTATGATATTTCAAAGGCTACAAAGTAAGAGATGGATAAGATTTTAGTAATAAAGTTAACATTTTTTATAATCTTAGAAAATGGGAATTGTAAACAAACTCGTCAGTCCCGGTACTGATCAATATTGTCACAAATTTCAATTGATTTTCCACGGATAACTCCACAAAAACGCATTAATAAAACTTGGACACTCAGAAAAGTTATAAATAAGGTATTGAAATNGTTATGGATACAATACTAAAACAAATAGAATAATAAAGTGTAGTTTCAAAGAAATTATGACATTTTAAAGGCTACAAGGTAAGAGATGGATAAGATTTTAGCAATAAAGTTAACATTTTTTTATAATCTTAGAAAATGGGAATTGTAAACAAACTCGTCAGTCCCGGTACTGATCAATATTGTCACAAATTTCAATTGATTTTCCACGGATAACTCCACAAAAAACTATTCAAAAACGCATTAATAAAACTTGGACACTCAGAAAAGTTATAAATAAGATATTGAAATTTCATGTCGATATTTCCCATGTTTAAATGAACGAATTATCTATGTACTTCGTGCAGAAACAAAATTTTAGAAAAAGCCCTATATATAGGAAAAAAAATTCTTACTGAGCAAGATCTCAGGAGAGAACATAGAGGTGTAGATATTTTCAAAATATTCATTGTCGCCATCAACTAACAACAGACGATATTTTCGATCTTCAAGTCTTCAACCTTGGACGAAGTCAAAAAGATGGAAGTTACATTACATTGGATATTTTTAAAAAATAATGTTAGATTATTACAATAAAATTTCCAACTTTTCAGTTTCTCTCGTTGGAGAGTTCGTCGTTGTTAATACCTGACGTTTTCGAATTTAGAAACGAAACCAGTTTCAACTTCTTGAAGAAATCCTTGTGACATTATTTCAAAAGACTCATAGTTTCAGTTCACTTCATTTAAAGCATTTTATAATCGAGACAAGCTATAAGCTAAAGAAAAATAAAATCAAGACAAATATTATATTCATTTTTTTTTGTTTTATTTGTTATTGAGTATGTGTACTAGAAAAGCTGCAAAGGCTATTTATTTTGTTACTTTAAAATGTTTGTAATATTCTGTCAAATTATCGATGACTACGTTTAGCAACATATTCAACTATCATTTTATTTCAAGAAATACGTTGAATTAGGAAGTCTATTTCTTTTTGTTCTTAAACCCAGAACTGCTACCTCTATTTCCATAATATAAATTAACCTTACTTCTATCTCGAAAAACATTTTTCTCTATAATTTGTTGCAGTTTGCTTAATAGAACAAGCTTTTCGATTTGTTTTACAGGATATATTTCCATGAAATTTGATTTACATTTTTTTTTTCCTCCAGGTCACTCTAGAGTTGAATGGCCTCTACTAAACTTACCACGCATAACTAAGATCCATCGTCAAAACTATAAATCACTTTATCATAGTTTATAATTTATCCTTAAAGAATTATAAAATTCTTACTTATCTTCTTTGCCAATTGTTAAAAAATGTTTGTCTAATGCTTCCAAAAGCTTGTGCGTTAATATCGATGGTAACTTAAGCATTTCTTAGCTGTCAAATTTTAGCTCTCTTATAATATCGTGAGAATATAATTTAAGTTCCCTTGCATATTTAATCTAAGTAGCATATTTACAAGCTTTCATATGCTTGCACATCTATTTTGTATATCTATTAATTAAACTTAACCTCTTATTATGATTTGTAAAATTTGTGTATTATGGTTCACTGATCATTATATAAAAATGCTTTTATTTTTATTTATTTTTTTTACTTTCATTGGTAGTAATCAATAGCAGTTTTTACATTTCTCAGTTGGCAGATTTAAACTTTTTGCAAGACTTTTATTTTATTCTGTTACAATTTGTAATATTATGCAGGATTGCATTCATTGCAAAAGAATAATCCTACATTTAAGCAATCATTTGTTGGGGTGTTATTTACAGTATATAGTAATTGTATCCAACATTATTCACTTAATGGGAGATTTTATAGAATTTCAAAGTGTTTTGATGCTAAACCTAAAATTGTACTTTATATGATAATTTATTACAAAAATTCTGTATACTTTACTTAATATATCCAACAATTTTATGAATCTATGTAGGATTGTTCTTGGTTTATTTAGTAAAATCTGTTCAGTTTTGCTGATATTTTTATACATATAATTTGCATTGCCTTTTTTTCTACAGATTGTTACTGGAACAAATATTGCCAAAAATGTTCCTAGAATGTATCTTATCGATCTTTAATATCTACTTATTTCCAATTTAACTCCTGTCTAAGTTTACCTTTTAAGAGTTTTTTTTAAGTCACTAGTAGTCTAAATGTGATGTTCTTCTTTATAGAGAATAAAAGTATGTTGTACACTTTTCAAATTGTAAAAAGCTTCTTTTATTTCTCTTAATTTTGTCCTTATGACAAAAAATTACTTTATGAAGTGTTCTTTTTTAAATTTCTTTTTAATGACCTTATCCAATATCTTTAGATGATTAATATTTCTAATACATATTTTTATAATCATATTATTGTGGTGTGGATTGGTAAGATTTTGATGTTTTTGAAGGAGGGGTTGTGAATTTTACTAAAGTTTTCAAAGATTGTAACAAAACTCTCACTTGTTCATTATTGATTTTATTATTATTGTAGGAAACTTTAGAATTAAATACTTTTTAAAACAACTTTCATGCTGTCAGCTAATATCACATTAAAAGTTTAATATAAGTTTTTCATATATTTAACTCGTTTATGAAAGACTTAGTCTCAGAAAATTAAAGAATTAATTTTTATTAATTTGATCATTCTCTACAAGTAGGCTATTTTCAGGTAAGGCAAAAACACAAAAGCAAATTGTGGCAAAAATTTATAATTTTTTTTTAATTAAAATATGGGGAAAAGTGCTATACAAAAAAAACATAAGTCACGCCTAGTATTTAAAAAATACTAAAATTATAATTTTTAAAGTGATTGAATGACAACATGCTGTGAAACTAATAACTTTAATGAATATCTTTAAGTATGTGTCAGTCCTTAACTGCTTTAAAAATAACAATTGAAACAAAAATATTTTTTCAACTATTCTTTAAAGCCACAAAAATCAATCTTGCATAAAAGTGCTAATTTTTCACTGTGAGGGAATGATAATGATGAAGGAATGAAAAAATAACATTATTTGCTTTTGACGTTTATAAGAACCTACATACATAAATTGCAAAAATGTCATTCTCTGACAATGAGGGAATGAGAAAATAAACATTTTCTGCTTCTGAAGTATATTCATATCAATAAAATTATGCAATCTTTAAGTGTCCCATTAAAGGAAATGAAAACATTAATCAATACATTTTTAGTAAATAAATTAACTTCATAAATTTAAATGAGGGCTGACATCTTGACAATTATTTAATTTGCTTATTCAGTTTCTTTCCACAAGCTGATGAACTTCTTCCAATTTACTAAAATTTGCATGGAAAATTTATCAGAAAATGTGCAATGTTTCTACCAAAATTATAATTATGTGAAAATTTTGAATTGCAGTGAGGGAGTGAATATTATGAATTATAATTTCCCACTTTTTATGCTAAATAAAAAGAAAAAAACATTTAAAGACCAAAAAATTAATCTCTAAAAACAATATTATCAGTGTTAAATGCAGTTAGTAAGAGTTGCTGAGTGAGAGAATGAGATTTTATAGGTTGGAAAACTAATAAAGAATATTTTTTTCAAATAATGTTTCAAACTTGGGAGATAATATAATATAGACATCAACAAACTATATCTTGAACAAATAACTTAATTTTTCTGCAAAAAGAACTGAAAATCCTTTATTTACATCATTTTAACCAGTTGAATTAAACTATGAAAAATAAAATACCTCTTTTTTTATCATTATCAATTTTATTTATTTTTTATATGAGCTATTAAATGAGTAATAGCAACACAATTTAATTCAAAAATATTAAAAAATGAAATGCATTTATATAATAAATGTGCATATTTTAACATCTATGTGCTTTATCTAGTAAATAAGTGTACAATATAAATTTACTAAAAAAAGGAAAAGATAAAATCAAATAATTTAAAAGCTTTAAAAATAAAAAGTCTTGTTTAATATGAGCTTTTGAGTAGTAGGTAGTTTAGAAAATAAATTAAATTTACAAAACTAGGAAGTTTACTTTAAAACACAAACTTAGCTACCTCTAGAAAAAAGTGTATCCAAAAATCGTAGAAAGTTGGCATCTTGTTATATATATATGTGTATGTGTGTATACATACACACAAACTATATTAAATGCTTAAATAATTGATATTAATAGGGCAGATTGAATTTGAAGTAAGGCTACGTTTTTAAAATTAAATATCTATTGCTAATACAGCATTTATAGGTAATATGTATTTAGCTAAATGATTGGTAAGAATGACTTATTTACTTTTTCTTACAAATCTTATATCTTACATTATGATCATCTTGTTTATTTTTAGATTATATTCTATTAATTTTTTCCTTTCATTTATTTAACTATTGTTATTAATATTGCACCTAATGTTGCCCAATTTTTTGTTGTTGTTTTTTAAAAAAAACTGACACATTAAGCTTTGCTGTTGGACAAAAATGCTAACAGGTAATATTAAAAAATAACTATATACTGTGTGCCAAAAAAATGTTAGTTTTCTACTATGTCAATATAAATTGATTGTCAATTTTTTACCAACATTCTTTCAATCAATGCAAATCTTATAATTTATGATTTTTTTTCACCAAATTTAAATCTTATTGAATCTTTGTCTTGCTTATTCTAATCATATTTTATTTAATTCAGCATTTGCAAGTCTAAAATTTCTTGCTTTAAAAAAAACTCTTAGTCTGAATAAACAGTTTTAAAATTATATTTTTATGGTATTAATATCTCAATCCCACTATATTTTTAGTTAAATTAATTACAATTTTAATTATTCTTATCAAGTGTGATTAAATCTGTAATATTTCTCTTAATAGGTTTATTGATGGAATATTCCATTGAAGCTAGTCTAATATCTTGCTGTGAAGATGATGAAAAAACTGAACCTAATAATTTCTTAAATCTTTCTTCCAAAAATTCTAATCGATTTTATTGCTCAGTGTGTGGAAAAACATTTGGAAAAAACTGCCATTTGGTAGAACATTTTCGTACACACACTGGAGAAAAGCCTTTCCAATGTGAAATCTGTTCTTTTCGTAGTGCTACGAAATCAAATTTAAAAACACATTTTGTTTTAAAACATAAACAAAAAAAATATAAATAGTTCTTCAAATAATTTTTGAAAGATCGTTGGGCAATTCACCATGTCATATTTGTAGGCTTTAAAAGTAGCATATTGCTCATTTTAAAAAAATAAGCTGTTCTAAAAAACTTTGTTACATAACTCTAATTAATTGTTAATAGTATTCTGAGAAAATGCATTTGTTCCACTTATGAAATGTTTTATTACATGTGCATTCTAGTATATATATGTGTTTTAAGCAGGGTTCGTTGATTTAAATCAGCTTGATTTAAATCACGATTTAAATCATGATTTAAATCAAATGATTTTTTCAAACAAATCATAGATTTAAATCAACAAATTTTTTTTATCTATATATAGTGATTTTAAAAGTAAAAAAACAGTGTTTTAAATTTTTGATAATTTTATTATTTTCTTTTCTTAGTATTAAAATTTAATTTAANACATAACTCTAATTAATTGTTAATAGTATTCTGAGAAAATGCATTTGTTCCACTTATAAAATGTTTTACTACATGTGCATTCTAGTATATATATGTGTTTTAAGTAGTAATTTTCTACCTGCAACTCTAGAGCTCAAATGCGCCATCTAGTTCAAAGTACAGTAAGCTTGCTAAAGTTGGTTATTTCCATCAATCATCATCCGACACATTCTACTTTTTGTTCTAGAAACTTTTTTTAAACTAGTGATAACATTAGTTTGCATATATTATTTACCACATTAAATCGAATTTCCAACTTTTATTTTAAGACTGACCATTTTTTCAGAGGATGTGTTAAAAATATTAGTTTTTACGTAAGAACATGCTTATTAGAAGAACATATTTTATGTAAAAAAAAAAAACCAATTAAATATGCTTTATAAATATTTCAACATCCTTTGCAAAATGGTTTCTTTGGAGAAAATGTAGATTAATATTAGGATTTGTAGTAATATTTTTTTAAGGGCTTTAAAATTTAAATTCTAAGATCCTTAAAAAAACAAAATTAATTTTTTGTTATGTAGCTTCTCTTCATTATATATTAGTATTTTAAAACAGAAGATATTTATTAAAAATTCTTGTAGCTAATATAAAATGGGCAATATTCAGGTTTTAATCATTTATTGATTTTAAGAATTATTGAAAAAAAAAAGGGTATTTATTTTTCTGTCTAATACAAGAATATATTTTGTTTATTAGTGTATTTTTCTCTCTCAGCTGTTTTTCCCTGGTTTTTCTTATGTGATAAATGTAAAAAGACTTATTAATCATTTAAGTGATTTATTGTTTAAATTGCTTTCCAGTACTTTTTCTATGTCTTTTATGCTTATTATATTATTATATATATGCTTACTAAAAATTTAAACTTAGGTGTCATTTTCTCTGAAAAAAATTACATTTGATCTTTCTGTAATAAAATAAGTTTGGATAAAAAAATTTACTATTTATTAATATAATTATTAATACTATACTAAAGTTTAATATAATTGTTGATACTAGATTAAAGTTTAATATTTTAAGTTGTTCCAAAATCTGAAGCATTTTTATTTGAATTGAGCATATTTACACGGTTATTATCCTATTTAGTTATGAGAATTGTTCATGTATACATCTTAGAATTTTCATTTTTAACATTATGAGTTATAACAAAGGATTTATTAACTACGTCTCTGCATTTAGTATTTCTTAACCCTGTAAGCTTTCAAAAAGAGTAGTATTATTAAAACAAATAATTCCTTTGTAAACTCAATTTTAAAGAATGGAGGTTTTATGGAAAAACCCTGTAAAATGACTGATTTGAGGCACAAATTTTAAAGAAAGAAATATACTTTTTAACTGAGATAATATTTAAATTCTTTTAACTTTAGCGAATATTTCGACGCTATTCACAGTTTCGTTTTTAAAATAAGTAACCCATTTTACCTTGACTTTTTATATTGAAGTGATATAAAAAGTGACTTTCTAGAAAAGTTGATTTATTATCTGATGTTAAACTAAATGGCTATATTCTGCTGTAACTCCTCTTTTTTTCCAAGAAGTTCCAACTCCTTATTGTCTTAAAAATAGTGACAGACACCTAAATCATAAAAAAAATTATGGTAATTAAGAAGCTTTTGATTATCCTAAACGAATGATAATCCTTTAACAAGTGTCCTATCACAATATATGATTTTTTGAGAAAAAAAACTGTCTTATAAATATGACACTGGGTGCTAATTAATTAAATTTACCATTCAAAATACTGATTGGAATAACATTTAAAAAAAATAACTTTATTGTATAATAAAAGTTAAATTTTCCATTCAAAATCTGATTGCAAAAAATAATTTAATTGTGAAGTGAAGATAGTCACAATCATTAGTGTTTTTTGTTTTTTTTATGTATATATATCACAGTACAAGAAAGCATCTTGATGTTTTGACAATCTTGAAAGTAATCATAAATGTTAGTTTTCACCTGTTAACAGTTTAGATGTTCCCTTTATATTTGTTGTGTTAAATTTTGACTACATTAGTAAAAGCACTTTTGAGCTCTTACTAACTAGTAAAATTTAATATGAAAGAGTAATGGCTTTGTGTGTGTAATTTTTTCCTTGACATTATTTTTTGTTTGATTCTGAGCCTTAAAACTTAAAAATGTTTGTTAATTACTAGCATCCATTATAACTTTTTTTTTTCAAAATAAATTATATATAAAAATTTATCATTATTTTTTAAAAGTCTTGATAATAAAATGTATAGAATTATTCTTGAAAATGTTAAGAATTAATGTAGTATATTCTCAAGAATATTCTAAGATGAGATTCTGTTGAATAATTTTTAAGTGACGATTTTATGCATTAGTTAGATTTTCTATTAACTTTTACTTTTTCTCGTTTCTAGATTTGTTGTGTATTTTTATTTGCAACTTGCCGTATTGTGTTATGTCTAAAAAATTATCTGTCTCTTTTGTGTGTGTCATTAGTAAAATTAAAACTTCAAACACTTATTATTATTTTTTTCTTAACACATTAATCTGTCCATTATGTGACAAACTCTAAGTAGACCTGCTGGGCTCACTTTTCGAGGTTAATCTTTTTTCTTTCTTTTTTTTAAGTATAAATAATAAGAAACTTGACTTTCCTTTGATGTGTCAATTTCTAACTCAGACTTACTTCTTACACACATTACTTATTTTTCTATATTTTACTTTGTATAACATTTTTGTTTATTTTCCAGGGAGCCCTTATTCTGGTGTTTGTGAAGCAAAGTTTTTTTCTATCTCACTTCCCTGTAATTTACAAAGATGTGGTGGTGACACTTTATATCGTTTCAGTGATCTTCTTTCTTCTAGAAGTCATCGTGGATCTCAAAATTTGCTAAAAACTGATCTTGCAGCAAATAAATTAATTGACTGTAAAATATGTGGTATGAAGTTCAAGAAAAAATCTAATTTAAGGGTTCATGTCTTAAAACACAGATTCAGTGAAAATTTTGTCACACATATGGTAAATGTTCTTGGAAGGATTGGTGCAGCATGTGTTTAATGTTATCACTGTTTCCTATTTATATTTCAGATTTATCTATACTACGCAATTAGCTCTACAAAAATTTTAATAGCTAGGTTACTAACACTAGAATATTCAAATTATCACTTGTTGATTAAATCCTACTAGTATTCCAATTACTATACTAGCAACTTGTTGAAGTTTTACTTGAAAGAAATTTAATATACTAATGTTATACCACTAGTTGTAGAAAAGTTATATTAATCATATGTTAAACATTAAAGAAATATTTTTAATAATGAGGAATATATATTTTTTACTTGATGATGAGTTGTAGAATGTTTCAATTATATTTTTGAGTTCTCAATTAAAAGTTAAAGTTAACTGAAATATATTAGCAACAAAAAGATATGATTATTTGCAGTTTTTAAAATGCTACATTTTGAAAGAATAACCAAATCCTCTCTTTTATTTATTTGTATCTTTGTTTTTCAGTGAACTATTATACCATTCCTTAAACTAGTATTAAGAATAGCTTTATTTGTGCCATTTTTCTTGTATGTGTAGTTTTACCAAAACGATGTTACGAATAATTTTTTCTATACTTTATAAAATTATTTCAAAATGTAATTTTATTTTATTTATTTGTTATGTTTAGGTGTATTTATTTTAATTTATAACTGATTAATTAATTAAAAAATAAACATAGTACAGTCTTGGTGCTAAATTGTTAGTAAATGTAGTAAAGTTAGACAAAAAATGTACAAGGGCTTCTGCTCATATCTAGTTCTAAGTTTTCAATTATTAAAATCTTAAAAATATTATATAAATTCAAATATTATAATGTTTTATACATAAAAGTTGGTTGAAAGACAAATGTTTGTTATTTTACTTTTTCATACTTAGATTTCGTCATTATAACCTTATCTATATATATATATATTGCAAACATAATTATTTATTTATTTATTTTAAAATTTCATAGTAAAGTGCTGTTCTAGGAATTCATCTTTATCTTCTTTCAAAATCTTCTGCATCTAGCATTTAATATCCTTCTATTTTTTTAGTTGCGGGTATTGCAAAACAAATCTTTCAGTAGTAAGTTTAAATTGTTTGAACCATTTCGAACTTGAAAATATATCTATTCCTATGTAAATTTAAAATTGTACTATAAATGACTATCTTCCTCTTTCACATAATACTTTTATATGTTCCCTGTAAAAAAATTTCATATTGTAAAAGTTTTTCATGTATTTGTTTTAAGTATTTATTGTAAGTATTTAAATTTTCTACTATTATATTGACCTAAACATTGTCAATCCATTGAAATTAGGGGGATGGGTATTATTCCGCTCTTTAAATATTTTGCTTTCCATTGCTATGAAGGTAAATATACCAATGTATGTTTTTATATTTTGCCCTTGTATAGCTGTTAATCTGTCCTACGCTTTTTCATTTTTCATTAATTTAAATCAACATGTATTTTTAACTTGAAATAATTTTACTTTTCACTGTTAATTAAAGAAGTAGTATTGTTTTAAATATTTCTTTATCACTTATTAGCCTTTAAAAAACATTGTTTCTTTATTTTGAAGTTATTTTTCATTGGCTCAAAATTTCTTGAGCAAATTATCAATTGTGCATCTTAATTTTTGAATGAGTAGAAACACCAAAATAGAATTTTGAAAGTAGTGTTTATAATGAACTTTACAACTTAGCATTAAACCCGAAATGTTAAATATTACCTAAGAAAGAATAAAGGGTTGATTCTTCTAGCTTGATAAAAAAAAATATCTTGAGTAAAATTTGTACTTAAAAAGCATATTTGATTTTAACAAAAGTAAAAGACGTTGAAGTAAATTTTTATTTGTAGCAGTATTATCAAGTATTTCAGCTTGTAAATTTTAAATTAAAACCTCGTAAAGAATTTTTTTTTGTTTGGTAACCTAAAATATGTTTTAAGATTTGGAATGTATATCTATTCAGTTCATTGTCTTAGGTGACAAATAAAGTTTTAAAGCAACTTTCAGAATGACATAAACAAAATACTTGTTACATAACTATAATTAATACACTTTTAGATTTCATTTAATCTCACTTTTGCCCTTAATATTTTAAAACAGGTTTAACAGTTTCAATAATTATTGGGGTAGCAATATCTACAAATGTTAAATAAGTTTCCAAATTTATGTAATTACTAGTTTGATATAATGCTAAGTTCAATCTAAGTAAGTTAATGCTTAATAATTTTCATTTTATTTATCACATAGCTTGTTATTGCCATTAAATTTTTTCTAATATCTTCACCACAAAAAAATTTAATTTCATGTTATTGTTTTTTTTATCTTTTTACAACTGGCTTGTAAGATTCTTTTTAATTTTTTGCATTAAATTAATTACATATAATTTTTTACTTGTGTGGCTATTCTCTAAATTCGCATACGATTCAAAAGTTGTAAATTCAATTTGCATACTAATTTAAATTGCTTTTTTTTCTAATATTTTACTTAAAGAAAATATACTACAATTCAGAACTGCATCTGTTATTAATGAACACAATTAAGAAAACTTACCTATTGTTTTTTATGTTTGTTGTAAAAAAAATATTTTAATGTGTATATATATATACATATAATGACAAGTACAGGAGAATAAAATTTTATAATAAATCAAATTTTGAATTAACTGATTAGCATGAGTAATCTAAAAGTAAATTTGTTTATGTAAAATCATCTACATCCGACTCTGGTGAAAATGTTAAAATTCTACTTTCTCTAACTTTATGCATGAGTAGTTGGATTTAACTTTGTACATATTTTCTGTAATTTTGCATATTCTTTTTAATATCCTTAAGCATCTGCTATGTTTTTGTCATATTTTTAAAAAGGAAGCTTTTTTTTTATTTCTTAGTTGTAGATTAATTAGCAAATTATTTTAAAAGTATAGCTTTTAAATTAATTAGGTATATATCTTAAATTAACATTTTTAATTTAAGTCACAGTTCTGTCCTTTATTTTCTAGTGCTCATATATTTATAAATTAAAAAAGTTTCTAGAGTTTATAACTAACTGGTTTATTTAGCATCTTAGACAATAGTGTTCATATTCTAAGAATAATTGTCATTGGTTAAATTATTTTTTAGAAACTGTGTCTGTGTTCAATTTTCAGATGGTCTTATTACATAGTAAAATTTTTTTTTTTTAATAATTAGTGTAACTTACTGAAAAGCAGTTAAATTCAATTATTTGGGTAATTTAATTTGAACTTTAAATTATTTACATGCATGGAAAAACCACTTTCTTATCATGATTTGATAAACAAAAAACATTCTCAAAGAGGATTTCATTATTTTCTGTTAATTTTTGATCTTGGAATTTTATATTTCGTTTTTTTAACAATAGGAAATTTAAATTACTTTTTTAGTTTAGATAGAAAGTCAAATAAATATATCTTAGTAAAATCTACAAAATAAAAATAATTTGATGAGAATATACTAATTATATTATATTTTCATCAGTTTATATTATTTTTGTAATGATTCTTTTTATTTTGTTATCTCTGTGTAGGTTTGAAAAATTTTATAATTTATTAATGTTAACAATTTCAGTAAAATAGCTAAAAAATATTATGACATTCATTCTTTATTGTAGCTTCTTTTTTATGTTATAGTTTATTAAATATAGAAGGATTTGCCAAACTAGATTTTGTAAGAAGTTTTTAAATTTCTAGTGGAACAAATTCTGCAGATAAAAAATTTATTATTTATCAGAAATATTACTTATAAATAGTTTCTTAAATATTTAGTTCAGTGTTTGCCCAAAGTGGTTCCATTCCATGTATACTTTTTACATTCTTAGTAGTAAGATTGAAGTAAGACACAAAAGTAAGACTGCTGTGTCATCTAAGCTACATAGTTTTTTAACGGCTGATCCACGAACCGGTACCAGTCCCTTTTTTTTTCCTACTTATTAGCAGAAAGAATTATTTTTATTAACTTTATTTGTTTCTTTTGCTACCTAAACATTGTTACATTATATAATTCAACTTTTTTGTTATTTAAATAGCAAAATTGATATTTATATTATTATTAATATAAATTTTATTTATTTTAAAATAGGTTCAGGCTCAAAATATTTTTCATTGTCAAAACTATGTGAATGATCTAAAACAAACTGGCCAAAAATTGTTTTAAGTTCCACTATATAGCATTTATAAAAATTATGTGAGTTGTCTTAATTACTCATTTTACCAGTTCACGATAAAATACTTTACCGGTTTGAGTAAATTGGGTAAAGAAATGCTAGGTTTTATCCCATTATAACTATCCTTCACACAATTTGTTTAATTGTAATTAGTATATATTTAACTTATTTTGGAATAAATTCAATATTTATTTAGTATAGCATTAAATAATTAAACGCATCTGTAATAAAGTGTACTGTATAAATTAATTTATTAAAAATTTTACCTCTTAATTGTGTCAACTTTGAAAGAAGTAAAGTGTATCAATTTAGTTCTTTTTATCAATTATTTGAATTAAAGCTATAAAATAACTTTGCAATACTGTAATTTATTAGAGCAGCATTTTCCATTTTAAACTAAAGGAAAAAAACTTACTGTGTTATAGTATGAAATAAACTATTCAGTTTCTTTTTACATGCAAGACCTAAACATTAATATTTTTAATAATGGATTTCAACTTAATTTTTAGCAACTTTTGCACTTCTAATTATACCAAAAATTTAAGAGAAAGGATCCTTTGACATAGTCATGATAAAATTACACAAGGGTATCTAAAACTATATCTTTATATTCTTTTTCCCCTCTTCCATTGTTGATTTATAGTTTTCTATATACGTAAGCGGGAGGTAATAGTATTTAAATTTATATCAAATGTAAAACTATATTAGGTACCTGAACAGAACAATTAACTTTTAATTTTGCTTATAATTCTCGCATTATGTTAAACAATGTTATTTATCTTAAATTCCTTTGTACAAATTTTAAGATTTGTCATGCTTTTTCTAAAACAAAACTTTTAGTGAATGCTGCTCTAATATTATTGTTATAAATTTTATACAAGCTTTGAATTATTTCTCTAAAATTGCTTTTTCAGGTTTATTTGACGGATATTACTGCAAAATATGTTGGAAGCATTTTTCTTCAAAGACCTTGTTAAAAAGGCATACAAAAACTCATGAGAAACATCGTCCTTTTAAATGTCAATATTGTTCATATTCAGCTATTTCTTTATCACATTTAAAGCGACATTTTCTTACACATACTCAGCAGCGTCCTTTTCGTTGCACCACTTGTGGAAAATCTTTTAATCATAAGGATACTTTAAAAAATCACCTCTACATTCATACCGGTAACAAACCTTATCAATGTGATCTTTGTAGTACTCAATTTACTCGATATGCTCTTTTAAAACAACATAAAATGCGTCATCATTATGCATTACATTAATTTATGCTCTCTATTTGTATTCCTTTTGTCTATTCATATCCTTAAAAAATAAAATTAAAATGACACTTGAATATTTATTATGGCTATTTAGGACACAATACACTTGAAAATTATATATTTCAGGAAGAGCTAGCTTCTCTTCATCAGGCATCAACTGTCTGGTGTAGTGAAGCTTGTTCTTCCCAAAACCTGCAGATTTATTTTTATGTGTATGGAACACTTAAGAAGTCTTAATAAATAATCATGTGTTTCACACCTGTTTTGATTCTTCAATGAAATGACACACTTTTGCTTTGTAATTATACTCAAATTATTTTCTTATACCTTTTAATTTCAAAAAAAATATTTAAATGTATTTCTTTATTGTATATATTATTTTTGTTTAAATACTCTCTCCTTTTTCTCATCTTGTAAAGACATAAGTCATGCCTTTTTTATATTTTTCAAAAAATTCCTTAATTCATCACATCTTTCTTCTTTTTTTTTAAAGTGGGATTCTCAAAACGAAATCTAAATTACTCCTGTATGGATTAATTTGCAACATCAAGCATATACTTTTTCTATTTGTAATTTTAAATATTTTTGATAAATTATGCTTTTCCTCTCTATCTTAACTGTTGTTGTTGTTTCTCATCCCCACTGGTCTAGCGGAGCTAGACGAGGTCCATGAACCCATTCACCCTCAGGAAATCAAAAATTAAGACCGGGTCGCGCAGAAAATCCTCCTTTTCAAAATCCACACAGCTAAGGAGGTGGGCCTTGCTGGCTGCACTGGAGAAACATTTGTTGCAGGTGGGATAGACCTTTCATTGCTGTTCGTACCTCATGCACCTAATGTGACCACTGATGAATCTAGTGAACACGGTCTGATCGCCTCTATTACCTCTTAAGGTCAAAGCACGACCCACCTTATCCCCAGAGTACCAGATATGTACTGGGGGAGTATTCCAGACTAGCTGGGCACCTTTCTTTCTAATGGAGTTCTCTATCTTATCTGGCTATGTTGATAGCTTTGTTTTTCGCTCTTCCATAGAAACTTATTTTTATGTAAAAAAGTTCTTGCTAATTAAAATTTTCTCATAAAAGAATTTTAAAATTATCTTCCTTACTTACATTTTAATCATTTTGATTTCTAAGAACAATTTTAGGCATTTGATAAATTTCACTTTGTTAACTCATTGGTAAAGCATCAACATTATCTTAAGTTAGAAAATGGAGAAAAAAATTAGTCCTCCTTGTATATTTTGCACTAAAACCATAAGTCTCAATAAAAATCATAAAATGGCGCCATTTTTAATTTGTTGCTAAGGTTACCTATAAAAAATCAATTCAGTGTATTTATAAAAGGGTGTGAGATAATGTTTTATAACTCTATGCTTCTATTTACCATTTTCTGAATTTATACATTGTGTTATTTATATGTAAAAGGAAACTATAGTATTACTTAAATTTAAAGTTCATTTTTTACTCCATTTTAATTCTGTACAAAGATAAAGAATATCTATATCTAAGTTTAATTTGAAATTTCTAATTTTTGTAAAAATTTGTTTAAGGAGACAAAATGCAAACTTTTACTAGATAGAAAAGGTAGAGAGTCATGAAGGCAAAATATTTTTTGACAAATAAATATTTGGTCATACAGTGGCTGGTGGTGTTTTTATTTATGTATTGTACGTCATATATTCTTTAAAATTGTATGTTTACATATCCACTTTCCATAATTTCCTATTTCATTTGTTTGTAAATTTTATTTTAGAAAAACTTATAAAGTTTTTTTAAAGCTTATTTCTGTAATACTTTAAAGTAATGTCTAAAAGTATGTGCTATTTTTCATTCAACTATACAAATATGTAAAAGCATTTATTAAAAATAATTATTCTTTGTTATGTATATTCATATATTTTAATTTGTTTCAAAAAAAAAAATTCTTTTTAAAATATCAATTTGTTTTGTGTGTGTTAAATTATACACAATGCAATTCAGAATTATTTATTATTATTTTGTTGAGCTTACTTTTATTTATGTTCTTTTTTTTTTTNTTTTTTTTTTTTTTTTTTTTTTTTTTTTTTTTTTAAAAAAAAGAAAAGAAAACTTTTCTTTTGCTGAAATGGTCCATTCTTATTTTTTAATATTGTTTTATGTTTAAATGTTTTTTTTAAAGTGAAATATTGAAAAATATTTTTTTTTCTTTTCATATTTGTACTTACATTTGTTTATTTATTCTGCCATTCTATTTCATTTCATTTTAGCTATTGAACTATTATTTATCCATTTTTAAATAAATTATTTTTGTATTTTATTATAAACATATTTCAGTGAATAATGAAGTAAACTAATTAACTTATAAAGTAAAACTTGAAATGTGAAAACTCCTTAGGTTATTTTCATTTGGGAGTTGTGATTTAGTGAAAGTGTTAATGAATTATATTTTTTTGATCTTACTATGCATGTAAGTTAAAGAATGTATTCAAAGTGATTTGACTGACCTGATTGCATTGTAAAAAAAATAATAATAATAAGCCCGGTTAGAGGTTTTATGGAAGGCTATGACTTAAAATTTTATTTACCTCAATTTTTTTGTGCAATAAATATTGGCAATGTGTTTAAGTATTTCTTCTTTTGGAAATATGTGGGACTTTATTTCTGTTTATAGCTTATTGCCACACATTTTTATTTTCATTTGTCAACAAAAAAGATATTTGTTAGTAATGTTACAAAGTAAAGCCAATAAATCAATTTCTCTTGAAGATGTTTTTATTATTGATTTCAAAATATTTAAATGTTTAATTTCCATGTAAAGAAAAGTAAATCTGGCAAATTTTTTACCCTAAAATTATATGTAGAAATAATAAAATGTACTTTTTTTACAAAGCTGTCAAATGGAATGACTTGAAAGTTCTACTGGTAATATAAATCTTGATACTTATATATTGATTTCTGAATCAATATTTTTGATCTTGTATCTTAATCTAGAATATATGTTTATTATTAATGTTAAATGTATCCGTATTTTTTTTATTTTATATCTTATTTAATTAATTACTATGTATTTTATTTTTCAACAATTTACTTTTTGAAATTATAATGTGTATTTTTTCAATAAGTTTTTCATTGCTCTATATAGTTTAATCATAATTTATTGTAATAAGAAAATTGTTTAATATTAAGGTTTGTTTTTATTTCATTTGAATGTAAAAAAATTTTCCATTTTCACTTAAGCTCTATTTCTTATTTTAAAAAAAAAAAATGCTTAATTTATTTTTGATGAATATTTAACAAAATAATTAAGGATATGAAATTTTTTTTCAGTGCTAAATAGTGATAGTGATATTTTTAAAATAATTGTTGGAATAATTTTTTTTTTAATGAAATTAAGAATATCCATAAGTCATTGTTTATATTTTCCTATCAAGCTTTGTTTTCTATCCTAATTTTACAGTTTGTTTTATGCATTAGTTTTAACTACTATTGGGCTATTATAAAATCAAGTTTCATGTTTTAATCTAGTCACTTTGGTTAATGTTTTTCTCATTTATTTCAATAAGAAGCATTTGTTAGCTTATTTAATTACACTCTATTAGTGTCCAGAGTCAGTTTTAAAAAATGATTTTTAAAATGTTTCCTAATATTAGATTTTGAACTTTTTGGTAAAATCTAAATTTTTTGCATTTTGTCTAAGTTAATATGAATTTTTTTGACTTTTTCTAATGAAACAAAAGTTTTATGGCAGTTTTTTTTTTCTGAAATGTTCCAGTTCGTTACAAGACATTTAATATTAATGAACAAAATATTGCTAAAGAATTGTAGTAATTAAGGTATTAATGGAAAAAAGGGAGTTTTTCTTAACGTTCTTACATTTCTTAATTGTAATTTCTTAACATTTGGATATTCTTTACATTTTTGTTCCATTTAGTATTCCTTGTCTGAATTATTGATTTCAATTAGGCTTCTAAAAAAATATTATCAGAAACACTTTACTATTTTTTCTATAGTATCTTTTCAAATTTTATTTGATTATCTATTCTCATTAGTTGAGTGCTTAACATTCTTTTGCTGCAGATTAAAGCCTTTTATAAAAGATATTTATACTATCAGAAAGCTCTCTCAGCATACATTTTTAAAAATTTTTGTTTTATTTTGTCAAACAAATTTCTCATTCTTTGTGTGCTTTTACTTTGTCAGAAATAAAAAAATTTTTGTTAACTGTTTATTTAACAAAAGGTGTTTTTTTACAGGTATTGACAAAAAATTTTAATGTTTGATTTTCTCCAAGCTAACCATATTTTTTATTTAGTAAGCTCTGAAATTATGCTAGAATTTTCTTCAACGTTCTTTAAATTGAACTTCTACCCAAGGTAGCTATAGGTGTTTATGGTAGCTATATAGCTTTGGGTGAGAGAGAATTTATACTTTCTGTATAGCAAGCTAAAAAGAATATATACCATTTTTAAAAATTTTTTGTTTCTCTTTATGGCTGATATGTTGGTCCTTGATATATAGCTGGATTGCTATTTCTTGTAATATGGTGCAAAGTATCTATTGCTTAATTAGTTCACTTCATATAGACTTAACATCATAATGTGAGCATTAAAAAATTTTATGTACAGACAAAGTTTTAATAAGTATTTAACGTCTTGAATAGTAATATTTAAGTTGCTTGTTGAAGTCTTTTAATTTTATTATAGTTCTTATCTAAAAAATACGTGTATTTATTTACATTTTGATTTTTAGGATCGAAGAAGAGTAAGGACAAGAGTTTGGACAATACTTTATCTACTAATTTAAGGCTCTTCAATTACTTTAATTATGGCAATAGCAATGAAAACTCTAATAACTCTAATTTCTTATGCTCTTTTTGTTCATACACTACTGACAAATATCATCAAATGAAACGTCATTATGCAAAGCATAGTGACGAACGACCATTTACTTGTGATACATGTGGTAAAAGCTTCACAAAGAAGTGGCATCATAAAATTCATGTCAGGGTTCATACTGGAGAAAAACCTTATGCCTGTCATCTCTGCCCATCCAGATTTTCCGACCCAAGTGCCTTTCGAAGACATCAAACTCTTCACCGACCTTCAGCCCCTTCTTCTTTAGTCGTAAGTGGAAGTTCCTTGATGAATTCTACAAAAAGCAAAAAAAATCTTATTTCGACAAATGTCATTTCCTCAGAAAAAATCAAAGATGAAAATTCTAACTAATAAATCATGACTGTTAATTAAATAATGAGAAAAAAAACAGTTTGTAAAGCTTCTCATACTTTATTTTCACTGAAAGAGTATTTCTTCAATTTATTCCAGACATATTTGAGTAAGTGTATGTATAATTATTTAATTTCACTTATGTTAAACAGAAACTTCTATTTAGTTCTTTATATAAAGTGTTTCAATTTTTTTTTTCTCAATTTCATTTGTATTGTTAGTTATTTGTTATATATTAGTCATAAATATTTTTACACAGTTATTTAAAAGATGTTGCTGTTCAGACTGACAATTTTCCTTTCAAAATGTGGAAAGTTATAAAAACATAAGAAAGTCTTGAGAAATCAAATTCATTTAGGTAAAAACGTCTGAATTCTTTGGAAAATATCTAGACTTTTTTGTATGTTAATTTTATTATAATGTAATGAAAATGTAAACAAGACCTTCTATTTACCAATCTTGTACATTTGTGATTTTTTTTAAAAATAGATGTAATTTTTGCCTTTAAAAGTTTTACTGTTAAAGAATTTTTTTTTTCCCATGAAAAAGTTCTTATGCGCGTATTACCGTGTACATTTTTAATATTTAACGAAAAATATATCATTTTTACTTTTTTTCAGCTAGTTATTTATAAAGTTTATTTTTTCTTTCTTAAATTTAACCGTAAATAATATAATTATAGTATCTATTAATAAATGATATAGCTTGAATACTATTACTCTACTCGTGTATCATATAATTATTTTTTGTATCAAAATTAAACTTATTCTTCTGCAATTTTTTTTTTATTTATTTATTAAATCTGTAAAAATGCAATGTCAAATCTATAAAAATATTTTAAAATTAGTTGATATAACTTGTTTAACTAAAATATTACATTCTTTTTATTTGAATTGATAACTTTTTGACTTATTATTTATTTTGTAAATAAATATAATTTTAAATACTTCAAGTTATATTTATATAAGTCCAAGTTTTTTGTAGTAATAGTTGCGACTATTACTACATTATTTCAAGTAAGGAATCTTGCTTCTGTCTATTAATACTTTGCAAAAGATATCTTGATATGACTATTACAATGTTTGTATTATTCCTGTAAATATCAAAATATATATCGTTTGTTACATTTCTTTAGTCAATCACTGCTGATAAAAAGCGGTGAACGAAAACCATGAAAGGGTGCATTGACTATTTAAAAAAATTATTTCTTTGTGCAATTTTTAATTTAATTGAAAATTGTTTTGTAATTATTAGTGAGGAAAAGTACTGTAAAAAAAAGTTACTGCTGTACGAGACTTTTTTTTTTTTTTGTAAAAGTATTTTGTTTCTAATTTTCTGTTAATTCATAGACTTATTTAGAAGAATCCTAAATTTAATTCTCACTGGTTATGTTTGTGAACCATTAGTACTTTAGTTGATTAAAAATATATGTGCAATTAGATAATCAAATGTCTTGTTAGTTTGTTTTTGAAGTGAACTCTTTTCTTAGTGTTAAGATTATTCGTATATTGTGTATTTCCATTTCTTAATCATATTTATTTCTATTAATTAAAATGCAATGAAAAAATCAAATTAAATGCAGATTTTGTGTGGGTCTCTTTTTGTTGGTATTTTTTCCGATGATATGTGGGCAGTTTTTTTAATCACTCTTAAAAATTCTTAAATGTAAGTCCTAATAATTAAAATTTAACCAACAGTGATCTTTTGATATTTAATTAATATCCTTATATGTGTCATTACATAATAATCAGATTAATTTAAAAACATTTTATCCTTCCAATGTTTGTGTTATATGTATTAATTAAAAACTATTAAGTGCCTGAGACTATATTTAGGAATATAGTGAGTTAATTTTTCTTAAACTGGTTAATTTACAGATTGACACCTGAGCATTCTTTTTGTTTCATTTTCAAAATTTTTGTTTAAAATACATAGAAAATTTGTCTTTACTGTACAATAGTTTCAATATTACTAAAACTGGATTATGATAATTATGATGTTTAAGCCTCATATTAATGAGCTTCAAAAAAAATTCTGCTGGCAGAATATATTTTAGTACATTTGCTAATGAAAGGAATATTCCGTAGTACATTCTTTTTCATTAACTTATGACAAATGTAAATGAATAGAAAATAAAAACTTAAAATTGTTAAGTTTCATAGGTTTGTTTTTCTTAAAATTTGTATTAATTAATTGGAATGTAAACATTGCATATCTTTTGGATTTAAATATATAACTACTAATAAATTGTTTAAATTTACAATTGACTTGCAGTCATCCTTTGTCTGAGATTATTTATATTTTTATTATTATTAGTAGTAACTAATCATTTTTATGCTTATTTATGTCTTACAAATGGATACTTTTTAATTTTTATAAAATATCAAGTTGTGGTATTATCAGTAATCTAGAATTTAAAAAAGAACATATCTATTTCATATCTATCACTTTCATAAATAAACTATCCATGCATCATCTATTTCATATGCATCAATAAACTATCTGTTTCATATGCACTTTAATTTTTTATTAAATATTTATTTTCAGCTTTTCTATTCTGTTTCTTATTTTAAAGTACAAATCGAGCTTTTTTCCAGCTGTTGAAATGGTTTGGTAGTTACAATTATCATTGTATATTCAGTATTTCATTATAGATGTTTAATAGCTCTCAACACACTACAAACCTAAACTTGTTTATCATTAAGGACCTGGATACTGATTGGTAGCGTTATTTCAAGAGTGTAAGTAAAATCTTAGTATTTTTCATTGTAAGCTCAAGGGGTATAGTTTTTCTTTTATTATTGTTACACATTATGTAATTAGTTATAGCTTTTAAAAGAATTAGTTTCGCATAATTCATTAAAGGTTAGTTTTTATAATAATGAAAAATGCAGCATCAATTAATTGTAAACAGGAATTATAAAAACTACTGCTGTATATTATTATCAGAATTTCTTTTATTTAATTATAAAAAGCTTTATTATTCTTGTTAGACATTTTTTTTTGTCTTTTAACTTTAAATATAATACTTGTGGGATGGTATTGGTTTTATTTGCTGTTATACTTACATTCTGTATGCTATATTTTATGAAGAAGTATTTAATCAATTCTTTTAATTTACTAATTTTGACAGAGAGATTAAAAATAGATGTGCTTAAATGTATGATCATTCAAACATTGAAGTTTCTTCATGAAATGTAAAAGTTGTTTTGTATAATGCAAGTGTATTGTATTTTTGCAGAGTAAACAACTTCATTAAAAAGATATAATTAGTGAATCTTTTGTGACTTGGACGGGTGGTAGGGAGGGTTCCAAGTCTTTTATTTATTTATTTTTTTCCTTAAGTTTTTTATTCTTACATTAAGTTTTATTTGATAAAATTGTTTCTTGATCATTCCTCAATGCGTGATATTTCATTATAAAATTTCACTGTGAAAATACAAATGGAAAAACAATGTTTTGATTTGCTTAATACTTTCTGCACTTCTTTAGGTACATTGCTGCTACAATACTACTTCAGTAACACATAAAAAAATATTTTAAAAAAGAAGAAAAAAAACATTTTATTGTATGCAGAATATAACAAGTCCAATACTTTAGAATAATACTTCTAAGTTTCCACCAAATATTTTTATCAAAAGTTTCTTTTTTTTGCTAGTGGAAAAGCTGTATATTTAATATGATATACAATTAATTCCTAAAATTCCATGCATTAACATTATTTTAAAAAAAAAAGTCAGTTTTTGTATATTTCCCAATTGTTTTTTGTAGGGTTAATTAGTGTGTATAATCAAGTTTTTAAACAAAAAATGAAGGAACTACAATGTGATCAGTGCTTATATTCTAATAGATGTAGATGGAAAATGGAACGTCATTATCAAACACATACTGGAGTAAAGCCTTTTATGTGTGATATTTGTTTTAAAAAGTTTTATGATAAGGATAGTTGGAAACATCATATGGCCTGTGTACATATTTAGTACTTGCTGTTCATAGAATTTTTTAATATCTGTTTCCTGAAAATATCTGGCATATTTTTTCAAGTATGATATTCTAGGTGTGTGCCTTTCTTATATATATATATATATTTTTTTTTTTTTTTATTCTCTTTACTTTTAATCAGCTTTTTTAAACATTTGTTATTATTAAATTCTATTTTATCAAAATTTTCTTTTAATTGATTTCAATTTTTATTAATTATTTTTAAATGTTAATAATCTTTTTAATTATTAACATTTTTGCAAATTTTAACAATACAAGTGATTTTTCTTGCTCAAGGGGAAGAGTTCTAAAAATTATTTGCCAATAAGCAAAAAAGTTGCTATTGGAAAATTGAATTGGATTGTAAGCTATCAAAGAATAAATTTTTGAATTCTGAAATTGTATAATTATTAATGAATATTAATTATTGTATGAAATATGTTCTTAGTAAACAAAGATTTATTTTAAAAAAAAGGTATGTAAATCAAATATTTTTTATTTTTGTAGTAAATCTGGTTAATAATCAAAATAACAATTTCAATTTGGGTTGTTAATAAAGTTTGTCATTTGTTAGAATTAAAAAATTTCTTTTTTTACCTTCTTTACTGTAGAAATATGATTCATCTTTAAAATGTTATCAGTATTTTTTTACTTTAATACATTAATATTTTCATCATGCATTTAAGAATAACTTTTAATTTTTAATGAACTCATAAGTTCACAAAATTATTGATCCTACAACTAAGCTTTTGAATTTATTCTTCTGGAATAGCTTGAAATAAATATTTTTATATTTTGCATCAGAAATAAATTAAGTATTATATTTTTACGAATGTTACTACTATAAATATTTTTATAATTTTACTTTTTCAACAAAAATCAGAATTTTATAAAAATAATTCCACTGATCTCAGAAAGTGAAATAGATATGCGGTAAATAAAGGTTTTTGTTTTATTTTACTTAAGTAATTTCAGCTTTTAAATGGCTAATACAAGATTTTGCATCTTAGAGAAACAAAAAAGTAAATTGAGAATCTGAAGAAATGCAAGTATATGTGTCTTAAAAACAAATATAGAACAGAGGTCCATTTGTTCAAGACCATTAAATTGTGATTCAGATTATCATAAAATAATTATCAGTGATCCTGTCCAGCTATCTATGTAAAAGGATGGTATGCTATTTTAGTTTTTTGTTCAGTTTTATGCTTTAATTATTGATTTTAAGTTAAAATTTATTCAATGATCCAAAGGATATCACTGACTAAATTTTTTTTAATTTCTAATTCTGTACATGATATGAAAATGCTCATTTAAGAACATTCTTATCCACTTATTTTTGTGAATTAATTGTATCTTACATTATAAAAAAATAACTGCATTCCATTTTATTTTTTTTTTTAATATTTTCCAATTATTTTTGTAGGATTATGTAGTGTGTATAATCAAGTTTTTAAACAAACAGTAAAGTGGCTACAATGTGATCAATGCTCTTACTCTAATAGTTGCAGGTGGAAAATGGATCGGCATTATCGAAAGCATACTGGAATAAAGCCTTTTGTGTGTGATATTTGTTTTAAAAAATTTTCAGTTAAGGATGCTTTGAAACGTCACATGGCATGTGTGCATAATTAGTACTTACAGTTGATTGAATTAAGTGACTCTTTCAGAAAAATATTACATTTTGTTAGTAGTCATAAAAAAAAAATTTAACTTGTAATTTATTAATGAGGTTAATCATTTGTAAGGTTTAATATTGTCTTTTATAATCTTTACTATAAAAAAAATTATTTCTTGTTTAAATGCATCGCAATGAAAAAATACTTATTTTCTATATCACTACTGTAAAAATAAAATTAAGGCATTCAATATTTTTATAGTTTTTTTTTTTAAACTTATGGTAATATTTGAAATAAATTGAATATATAAATTTGATATGTGATGTTTTGATTTTTATTTAGTTGTTCAAAATTTGATTTCCTTTGTAACACAGATATTGTTCTACTCGCTCTAATTGCATTAGAAGCTATAATTTGTTTTTAAACCTTATTTTCTGGATGTAAATTCTGGTGTGTTCAATCCTGAATGATTAGAAATTTCTGCTTTATTGTTTATTAAAAATAAACAAGATATACAACTCTTGGGAATATGGCTGTTGTAATATTTTACTTTTTCAGGCAATAAATATGAATGATCTCTGAATTTTATAAAGTTTTATATAACATATCAAATTCAAACTTTGAATAAGCTAAAGCTTGGGAATACATCGTAAAAAAAGTGAAGAACTTGGAGTAAATAACTTGAATTTAGTCCACAAACTCTGGGGAATGGGTAAGCTGTTAAAACTAATATTTTGTTATTTGCTACTTTTGAAAGCATTTAAAAGATCGTGTATAACTAAAATGTTATATACTTTGGTAATAGTTTATTTTAATCTGAATCTACTTTTTAACTCATAATCTCAACCAATAATAATCATTGATTATTAATTTTCTAATTATCATTTAAATATGAAACGTTATAGTTTAAATATTTTTTGTATTTACAGTTCTGCACTTACTAAGGTTATTAAGAGATTTCTATCTATTGAAAATACTATTAATGTAATTATTTTATTTATTAAACATTTTATCCAACTCTCCTGTACTATTTTTTTCTGGCTGTACATAATTTTTTTTCGTAGTATTTTAATTTTATAATTTCTTATTTGCGCAGCATAGAAATAATGCTGTTAGCATTACTTTAATATTTTATGTAACGTCATTTAAAATTTTAAATATATATAACATTTTAATTTGTTTACTATACTGTACTTGGTTTTACTGCTATCTTTTTTCTTATCTCTAAAATTATTTTTTGACCTTGTGTATTTCATAACATGTTTTCTAAATAATGTATTTTATGATACTAACCTCTCTTAACAATTTCTTAAACTGTTTTCTTCCTTTTTCTTGCAGCTTTTCCTTCTCTGAATAGACTTTCCTGCTCATCTAACTATTCTTCTTTTAACTATAAACGTGTTTTTCATTGTGATGAATGTAGTTATAAAACAAATTTGCGAGCAAATTTCAAGAGACATTATCGCATTCATACTAAGGAGCGGCCGTACAGTTGTCTCATGTGTGGTTTGTCATTTAGTTTGAAAGCTATTCTAGACAATCACATTAGAGTTCATACTGGTGAGAAACCTTATGTATGCAAAATATGTGCCCGCAGTTTTGCCCAAAAAAATAATCTCCTCAGACATTATCGAACTATACACCGTTCATATACTGCTTAAATTTATTTTTTACAATATTCTTTTTATATCTCCGGCAGAATATACCAAATTATTTTCTTTTATATGTACTTATTACTTGTTAAATATCATTTTAGAACTTACTGGAATAAATTTTTAATTATGTTGATGTTTTCATTTTCATCTATGTTTAAAATATTTCTTTTACGAAAAATCTATCTTTGCATATTTCTCTAGTGTAAAAGGTAATTGTCTGTAACAGGTATGAATTATATTTTCAACTTTCATTTATTTTATATAATTTTTTTTATAATTCGATAAATAGTGTTTGATATATTGAATTTATTTGTTCTCATTTATTTTAAGTTTTTAAAATGTTTTCAATTATTATATTAGTTAATAAATATGTTAACAAACTAAAAAAAAGTATTGATATTTATAAATATTGATAAAAATATTGTTTCTAAGTTTCTTCCAATTTAATTTTACAGTACTTAAGATATGAATGGTCTGTTGCATATTATTTCATATATATTCATATCATATCATATATATTCATAATCATTTATTAATTTTATGTGTGAATTTAATTTGTAATTATAAAAAAAATTATTTGAATTGAGACTTTTTATGAATTGCTTTCATGCTGAATTTTCTTTCAATGCTAATTTCTTTTTATTAAGTTTTGATCTATGATATATGAATATAATTTATGCTGAAAAAGTGTTCATAAAACAGTATTGTATCTATTTCTGTCTACAGTTACAGGTCTGTACTTATTGGAGGTAAATGTTTTTTTATTATTCTATTCTTCAATAGTTTTAATTTTATTTCACTAAATTTACAGCTTCTATTAAAATAAGTTATCAAATTAAGTTATTAATCATCATCACTTTATTATATTTTGTTAAAACTTATGTTCATGAACTTGCATCAATGCAAAAGCCTTAGTTTATTAATTTATTTAGTTATAGATTTTAATTTTATTATTTATTTTTATGCTTTCCACTTGTTTTTTTCTTTTTTTCTATGCTTCATATTTATAATTTTAAAGCAGTTATTTTTTATTGCATGATTTGTTACATGAATTATTATTTAATTAGATTTTTTTATTCAATTTTTATTTATCCTTTGTATCATTAATAACTGATGTGGTTAGTAAAAGAACATTATAAATGGCAGTCTTAAAAAATCTACTTTTGAATTTTCAGAAAGGTCGGTAAATCGTTCCATTTATAGACACCATATTTAATAACTTGTCAGAAAAAATTCATTTTCCTTATCTACAGATCGTGTATTCATAAAATCTTAAATTTTAAAAATATCAATATGTATGTTCTTCTACTAAGCTCTTCAATTATCAAACTACAGAAGAAATCTGAACCATTTTTCATGTTTCAAAATGAAATTTCAAAGCTAAAGTTTAAAAACTTAAAAGGCAGTTTAAATTTATGAAAACTTTTTGATTGAAAATGCCTAATCAAAACTATTAGTGTTTAAGTTTGAGAAACTAAGTTTTGATTTTTTATTTCTTTCTATGGCTTACAGTAAAAACAAATTATTATAATATTTTTCATTGATTTATTCAAATTACCAGTTGTTCTCTTATTACCCTTTTCATATTCATTTTGTTCCTTAATCATTGACCGTATAAAATATTTTTAAAATCTTTGTCGAAAATGAAGTTAAAAAAAGTTACACCTTAAGTGTCACAATTTAAATATAAAAAAAATTCTTTTGTAAGCTTAAAAAAAGCAGTTTGGTTAGTGTTTCTAATACTTATCATCCATCTCTTCGATTTCTTCAATCAATCAAACAGGTTTTGATGTTTTCAGTCTTTCCTTTCTCAATTACAGATTTTGATTAATTTCTTGTTTTTTTGTGACTTAAATTACCATTTATGACCACTGATGTATACTTTTTTTTAAATATGTATTAAGAGTAGACATTACAGAATATCCTTCATATATTTTGAGAATCCTTATAAAAATCTGAATAAATGGTGTTATACCTATATTAAAGTAGTTAACATAAAAAACCATTTAAATGAGAAAAAATTATCAATCTCTCCACTCACTGCCATGATCATTTGCAATTGAGGTTGAGTGATATTCTTCAAAAATACTTTTTTAGTTAAAATCAATAAGTAATACCGTTATATACTGTTCATAATTAAGTATTAGAGATGTGAGATAATGATTGTGCTTATTATTTGGAAATTTTAAAAGCCAGATTCAGTTAACTTCAGCTATTTATCTACTTCAAAATTTTACAAAAAAAATATTTGTTTGTTTCCCCTAAATATTAGTTACTCTTGATTCATTTTTGACAAGGAATTCTGAAAAGTAAATTAGTTAATCTTGAAAATTCATTTTGAAAGATGCGTTGTTGTTTCACATTTATTGTGTGTTACAATTGAATAAAATTCTGAATAATTGTCTTTTATCTTTCAGCAGCGCAATTCTGCTTTTTCATGGGTCCTCCTAAAAGAGATTATCGAAATCTGCGCTACAAGTGTCAGTACTGTTTTTATGCCACAAATCGACCATCACATCTAAAAAGGCACTACTTAACTCATACACAAGAACGTCCCTTTTCTTGTACAGTGTGTGGTAAATCATTCAATCAAAAAGTTAGTTTGCAGGAGCATTTGCGTATACACACTGGGGAGAAACCCTTTCAGTGTGAGTATTGCAAAGTTCGATTCACGCAAAGGTCAAGTTTAAAAAATCACAGACGTTTACATTTAAAAGATGATGGAGCTGCAGCTAATAATGCATTGACATTAGAAATGGGTCAGGTTCAAGCGGTGCAAGATTTAAATTATACTGTAAAATAATTATATTTTTGTATATTTGTTATATTTTTACTGATTTGTAGAGTCTATTTAATTGGTTATAGTGGAAGTATATGCTTTGGTAATTATTTTAATTTGGTGATTGTGTATTATTTATTTTCATTTGTATGAAAATTTTATTTAATATTTGTGTTTCATGACAAACAATTTTTTAAAATAATATATAAGTGAGATTTTTCTCAGTATTTTTTTTTCTTTATTATTATTATTTATTACTTAAATATTTTAAATTCATTTTGGCAATATTACTTAGTTTTATTATATCTCACTTTCATTGCTTTTGTGTTTTATGTGCAATTCTCTTTAAGCTTGATGTTTTGAAAATATATTGAGAAGTTTAATTTGTGTTGTTATTTGTCATTCAAATTTTTTATTTACAATTTCTGTTAATTGAAATCAAAATATTTGGTTATTACAACTGTCCCTTGTCTTGATACAGGTTTTAAAAAAGAAAAGTATAATCTTGAAACATAACTATCACAACTACGTCATATGCATAAAAAAAATTCCTGTTACATCTACAAGGAGGACTCATGAGCTCTAAACTTTAATCAAAGTCATTAATATTTTCAAAAATATCAACATTTTACTGTGAAAAAAATATTTTTATTTTCAAAAATATCAACAAGAATTAGCAATTCTTCTTCTTCATTGGCTTGACAGCCCAGGATGGGCTCTTTCCTTCTGCAAAGTTGAACTCCAGGCTCTTCTACACTTGGCCACAGACATCCAATTTGTGACTTTTAGAATATTTAAATCACTTTCGAGGCAGTCGAGCCATCTAAGTCTAGGTCTTCCTCTTTTTCGAGTGCCTTATGGTCTAGCAGAGAAGATCTTTTTTGTAACGCGATTATTATCCATTCTTGATAGGTGTCCCGCCCATTTGATTCTCTGAATTGCAATGTATTTGACTATGTCAGGTTCTTTAAATAGTATGTAAAGTTCGGAGTTAGTTCTTCTTCTCCAGATATTGTTACATTTAAGGCCACCATATATGCTTCTTAAAATTTTTCTTTCAAACACAGAAATAATGTGCTTACTCTTTTCTGTCATTGTCCAAGTCTCAGAAAAGTAAGTAAGAATGGGTCTTATCAAACTTTTGTATATCAGAATCTTTCTTTTTCTGCTGATGAAGTTAGATTTCAGATACTTTTTAAGGCTGAAAAAACATTGATTAGCTGCTGTGACTCTACTACGGATCTCAGGCAGGATGCAATTGACTTTGCAATTAGTTTTAATTTATCTTATATGACAACATGACCTCCAACAACTATGGAATTTCCATAGTTTTAGAAAGTATTTTCCCAAGTGTTTGCAAATATTAATATTTTATAAATTAAAATAAAAAATATTTTGTTCTGATTGATCGAAATTCTATTGTTTTTAAAAAGTTCTGTTTTAATTTACTACCATTGAATGAAACATTTTGCATGTTACAAAAGCAGGCTATGTACCCTCCCTTCATATTGTGTATTTCTCTCTGATGTGCAAACCTATTTAACGTGCTAAGTACTGTGTTATTGTTTTTCCTTTCTAAAAGAAGTTGAGAAGTTAACTTATATATAGTGCTGGCTCAAAGAAATAAAAGTGCTAACAAATTTAAGCCATTTTAATCAAGGCTATTTTATTTTAAAAAGCTTATAATTTCACTCAAAAATAAAGAATGAAATCACAGTTATAAAGAATATGATTTTGGCAATTTTAGATCCCTCTTCTCCCTTATCTGCAAAAGTTTTGAAAATTACACCTCCACTTATGTAAGAACACCTCTCTATTGTCTTTTGCTCTGACTCTTGTTGCAGTAATCTAATTTTAATATTTATTTCAAGTGTAAGATGTCCCGCAGTGGACTGATCATTAAGACGCGGTTCCCAGCAGATCACCGAAGTCAAGCATCACTGGCTGCGGTCAGTGTGCGGGTGGGTGACCCATTTAGATCAGTCTGCGTAGGGACCGAGGGTGTGCGGTATTGGTCCTCGTTAAACTGTGCTACCGTGAAGTACTCGACTTCGCGCGAAGGTCGTTTGGCTACCAAAGCGGGGGTGCCATCCCCTCTGCAAAGGATCAAAATTGTGATGGCATGTCTTCGGATCATCCTCAGGGATTTTTCCCAGACCGTCGCCAATAGCCCATTGTGCAGCTCTAGTGCGACTTAAATGAACTACAACAACAACAGATCAAGTGTAAGATGTAATTTTACATTAAACAAAATCTTTGTCATTAATTTTATAAAATTTCTAGAAGATATTTTATAGAAATCTTGTGTTTTTCTTTTATAGTTATAATTCTTGACCTCTAAGCTCCTTAATTTTTTTTGCAATTTAAAAAATTATAAAAAGATTTTGATGTCTCATGTAAGCATTGCTCATACCTCTCCACAAAAATAAGCAAATCGTAAGCCCCAACACTTTTTCTTAAAAGTAACATGATGATGATATTAGGGATGTAATGAATATTCATCCATTATTCGATATTCAGCCTTTTTGCCAAATATTTGGTTGGCCGAATTTTCAGCCTACTATTTGGCAACATATTTTTTTAAAAAAATATTTTTCGGCAACGTTTTTTATTTATTTAATTTGAACAGATTTAATAAGGAGTAGTCTAAATTGTTATTTTAAGCTATGAACTATTCAAAATAATTTTTATATACATTTGTTAAGGTCTAAAACTTGCACACGGCTTGCAAATTTATGTCCTGAAAGACAAATAGAAAAGCGAAATTTGAAAAATTATTACTAGATTTGCAAGTTTTGTAATGCTGTTTTTTTTATTTACATTTTTTGTTTTAAGAATTGAGAAGGTTTTTTCATTTTGGCCATTTTTTGTTATAGCACAGCTTTTTAATAAAGCATTTCTCGTGGGCCTTATTATTGTATTGTCACTTTTTCCCTATATGGTATTCGAGATTGCCAGTACCATAGAAACCTGTGATTTTAAATGCTAGAGTTATATTTTGAGAATTAAGAACAATTTTTTTCTGTTTTTCTTTTGAATTTTTTATTAACTTTTCATTTTATTAGTGTTTTTATGATGACACAGCATTTTCTAAAAAAACATTTTTAGTAAACTTTATTCTTTTATTGTCACTTTTTCCTGAATGTAGCGCAAAAAAAAATATTACATTTAGATTTTCAGCATAATTTTCTTTTTTTAAATAAGAAAGTTTTTTGTTTTGGTTTCTATCTAGCTTTTTCTTTTTTTTAAAAAAAAAAAAAACATGTTTTATTGAAGTTCTTATTATGATGTGGCAATTAAGAGGGTTCCTGTTAAACTTTCTTCTTCACTTTTCCTTGAAAATACTGAAATAAGAAACTAAGATGTTCAGCAACTGAAATTATTTATGTATAAAAAATAATATTTATTAATGATTTTTAAGACAACGTTGCTATTTAGCAAGCAACCGAATAATTGGTATTCTACCGATTATTGGGCAGAATATTTGGTTTTCGTCCAAATCACTATTCGTTATATCCCAACTACCTATCTTCAAGTCAGCACTTATATAATTTTGTCTTGATTCTGTTCCTATATATATATATATATATTAAAAATTTTAATCTGTTTTTAAATTTCTTGTAGTAAACAATTTACAAATATATATTTATCACTTTTTATAGTTACACTGCCAACATTTATTTTTTAAGTAATTAAAGTACTGACCACTTTTTAGCTTTGCGAATTTTTATATATAATCCAGTGGTTTCAAACTGGGGTTCTGTGATCTAAGTGAAAGTGCTGTGCTAGAATTTTAAAAAAAATAGTTGTATTAAGATAGGAATAAGAAAATCTCATTGTTAACAAAGTTCAAGAAAGGTTAACAAAGATTTTTTATATATATTTTATGAATTAAGATTTTAAAAGCTTGAGAACATTTTTATTTTTACGTATGATAGAGCTGTGAGACTAGAGTTATCTCTTCAGTGAGGACTTGAAACCCACTCGCAACAAATAATAGGGTATCAGAAAGTCTAAGAAATAAAGGTGGTGGTGCACAGTTGCACAATTTCACCCGATAAAGAATGACAATATTTTTTTTTTTCATTTATCTTGAACAATTGTGAGTGTTCTACAAATCTGAAGTAACTTGAAACTATTGGTGAAGCCAAATATTTTCTGTTATGTAACATAACAAATGCAATTTCAAATGCAATGCATTTGTTATGTTACATAACATAACAAATGCAATGCAATGCAAGTTTGCAATTATGTTCTTCTAAAACTTAAACAATGTTATATTAAAAAATAACTGCATTGATTAGTAATTTCTTATTGCAGTGTGGATTAAATGTGTATATATATTTTTAGCATGTAACACTAAAACTGTTTTCTAATGGTTGGAAAAATGTGTTAAAATGGTAATTGAAACAACAATCTTGTTTATTTATTCTTGTCAGTTGTTAATAAGAGTGGCTTTTTTTAATTTCTTATGTTTAAAGTGTTTCTTATATTATAGATTTTTTATTGTATTTATTTTTCAAGATTTCAAAATGTAAATTAGATGAACTACTTAATTCTGAAACTTCATAGATATTAGTTTAATTTGAGGGCACTACTTTTTAATAAAAGCAACTCTGTAAAATTATAATAATACCTTAATAAAGTTACTGAACATTTATTGTCCAATTTTTGCTTTTGCATAAAAGGCTTGTTTTCTGTATACATAAAAATAAATCTATTTTTCCTAATTTTACATTTTGTGTTCATTTTTAATCTACAAATATTAAACCTATTTTATAAAAAAAAAATTTATATATATTTATACTATAAACAGCAGAACCCCTTTCATCCTAATGCCTCTGTTAGCCAAAATCGATTTAAAAGTTTATTTTTTGCATATACACTTAGTTTTCTCTTTTCCCAATTCAATTTCTTTACTATAATTTTGTCGCTGTTTAGCTATGCATGATACCTTGAAAAATAGAAATGCCTTTTGTACTAAATGATTTCATAGAATTGTTAAATTTTATGTTAGTAAAGGAAGCCAAAATAGAACCGTAGTTATTGCACTGCGCTAAGCTAGCATTACATTGTGAAGAACTATTTTCTATCTTCAGTATATGCTTGAAGCTCATCCAGCTTCAGATCAATAGGTATCAGCTTGTCTGGGAAGTAAAGGCAGAACATGTGCAATGCTGATTACGTTGATTTTAAAATTGTGGACTTTTTACTTGCAGCACCCCTCAGACCTACATGTTGCTGTTGCAAAAATGCTCACTATGTCTGTGTAGCCAATAAATGTTAAATTAGTTGTTGTGGTTTTGCTAGAGAAATTTGAAAATTGAAATTTTTGTTATTTCATCCATTTTTTATTACTACTATAGTTTACTTAACTACAAGACTTCCACTTTTACTAAAAAGGAATATGTTATCTATGCAAAAGATATTTAATATTGTAGTGTAAAAAAGCTTTGCAAAGGAATGTAGAGCAATAAAATTAACTTCCAAAACTAATTGAATCAGCTTGCAATTCAAAACAGATGCTGCTTTTTACTAATGGATGCTTTTTACTACAGAATTTTTATTTTTTTAAAAATAGAACTGCTCTACAATCGTGCGATTAAATTTTAAAATAAAACATCTTAAATACCTATTTGGCAAAAAAAATATTTTTTAAATAGTTATTCTAAAATTAAATTTACTTTTTTGATGAAAATTATTGCATATTCTTAATTTGAATATTTCGGTTATTCAAAATGGGTTTAGTCTTAATTACTTCAAATAATCAAGGTCCTACTGTGTATATAAATATATAGTAGTATAACTTTTTTTATATATAAGTATACATAGCAGATTGACTAAGTTTTATGTAGTGATAGAACTATTTAAAACAAAATCTTTTCAGATTGATGTTCTATTATATTTATATGATTGAATGAACTAAAAGAGCACTTTAATTACCTTATCACACAGTCTTAGAAATATACTTAACTGCAAGGTCTGTGATGTGTGGTGCTGAAGAAGTTTTCTATTTTCTGAAGTGCTTCTTTACGCAATTAAACTCATTCGGTTTGTAAGTTAATATATGAAGGTCTTATTTGAACAGCTCCACTTTTGTTCATTTCAAAATACAGATCTTAAAAATCTAGTGAGTGTATTGCTTTTCTTATCTTGTCTGATTTTGGTACCTTCTGTTTGGCTGTAAAAATAAGTTGAAGTGTACTAGTTGAGAAATAAGTTATAAATATCTTGCACAAACAAGAAAGTAAACAAACCCATTTTTTACTAAGTGGTAATTGGACTAGCATTAAATCGGAGCTTCACATGTATGTGTAAGGAAATTGTTTTTATTATATCATAACTAGTTTAAATTTTCTCGCCTAAAAACAAAGTATTTATAAATTTGTATTTTCTGTTTAAGTTACTTCTTAGAGTATGGATTAACTGAATTTATCTAAATTGTATTATTTTGTTACTGATTTAAATATTAAAATTTGCATTTATTTTTTTAAATTTTCAGAAATACCTATGGTAATATCCTGATTTATCTATAATTGAAATTTATTGAAAAAAATTACTATATATATGCTGTTAACAGCAAAATTTATCCTTTAACTTGTTATTTAGTATCAAATTTGTATGTTTTTTTTCTTTTTTAGTGCTGTATTGATTTATTTAATTTGTTACAAAATAAAATGTATTAAATTCTATTTACTTTTTAAAGAAGAAAACCATTTTATGTTTTCAAACTTAATTGTATAAAAAATATGTTTAAAATAAACAAATTTTAATGCCCTGTTTTTATCTTTCTTTTTAAAAATTTCATCAAACAATAGTTTAAACAATTTAATTTTTTTTATTTCTGTCAAATTATAAATTAATAGTATCTCTTTATAAAGTTTTACATTATATGGTCCAGTTTTTAAGAATTTTGTTTTGCCCAAAATGTTTTATTTGAAATTTTCTTCTATTCTGTACTTAATATTGTCAACTTTTATCCATTTATAATACCTTAAACTATTTCTTGTTTGCTTTCATTCTTTATTTCAATTTTAAATCTCCCATCTAGGGCAATATGTTAAAACATGTTTCTCAAGCTTGTTTTTTGGCTTTTTCTTTGTAATGTTATAATAAATACCAGTTTTTGCTACAAACATGTGTTACCTAATTATGTCATTTCGTTAAACACAGTTATTTTTGAAATGATGTAAATAACAGCTCAGTCTTAAAATTTGCAATTTTTATTTCAATTAAATTAAAAAATTTAATTAAATTTAAAAAAATTTATTTCACTTTAAATTTGACTGTGAAGTAAATATTATTTTAACTCAAATTTAACAGAATATCAGTACATAATTCTTTCAGTAGCTATATTACTAAGTTGTGTTATTAAAAAAAATTTTAATTACAGAACAATAAGCATTAAAAAGTAAAAAGACATTAAGATTGTACTTATGGTGATATACTGCTATCAGGAAGTAAATGCTGTACTTATGGTGATATACTGCTATCAAAAAGTAAATGTTACTGTTAATATAATGAAGCAGCCGGATGATATGGTGGGTCGAGTCTTTGCTTTCCATAACTCTATCAAAGTTTTGATATTCTTTGTCTAATTTGATTAAAATTTCAATTGATTAAAATTCACATTGCCTCTGAATCAATTTTAATATAATAAGACTCTCAGTAGTTTCACAGCCAATGGAATCCACGCATGGTTGGGTGGTTGGGGAGCGTGGTACAAAGACTATGTGTATTTACTACCGCTATCTACTATCCATTCAAAATTGTGGTAGTAAAAATAATGCTTGTACATATCATTGTCTCCAAGGATAAATCTTAGACCATTTCCAAAGCTTATTTGTGTTGCTCTAATATACATCTAAAAATCAAATTAATATGATAAAATTGGTGGACATAAATATTTACTGGTCTAAAAACTCTTTTAGTGGTCAAATTTCAATTCATATAAACATTGGGTTAAATTTTAGTAACAAAATATTTTTACACTTTTTTTTCTTCGTTGAAACTACAAAGAGAGAACAAAATAATATGAATACTGCAATTTTAATGTTATAGGTACAGTACTTTTTCTGCATCAACTCAAAAATTATGTTGCTAGTTAGAGAAAGAAGCTAAAGATTGAGTTTTTTCTTAAATAAGCATATTTTTATATCATTATGCATAATTAAAATGGGCAAATTATAATGCAAACTTAATTTGCCTTTCATAAAGTAACCTTGGTATTTAAGTGGTTAATCTTAAAATAAAAATTTGTGGTAGATCATCTGATTTCTGTAATTAATGTAAGGTCCATATTGATACATACAGCATGTAAATACTTAGATGAAACATGCTGAAAATTTTGTCTTATTAAGTTTTAATAGAATGCTGCATTAAGAAACATGTCTGTTTTGTAAAATTAATATAAAATATTTTATGGAAATAAAGTTACAATATTTAACACCTTAAAAGCAGCTATGATTTTTTTTTTTGTCCTTTCAATCATTTTTTATTTTAATTGATAAGTTTTCGCATAACTACATGGCACAAATGTTGCTGTGAATGACTGCAATTATCACATAAAAGAAAAGAATAACTTCTTAATTTTTAAATGTGTAAATATTTTGATACATTCTGATATTTAGGTACATAATTAAAAATGTCAAATTATGTAAAACTCCTAATAAACAATGTTTTCTTACAAGTGAATTAATATATGCAGTTACTTAGTGATATAGATCAAATCCAAAAGTGCTTTGTATATTTATTATTTTTTGAACTGTAGTTTTGTATTGAAATATTTTTTAATTAATCCTAATAAAAATGAATTTACAAGAAATTTTATCTTGATATTGTAGAAAAATTTATCTAGATTCAAGTCCGACGTTCAAAATAATTCAAGCTACATTTAAAGAAACAAACACTTATAATATAATACTGCCTTTTATCAAATTTGAGAATGTCTAAAAAAATTCAAAAATTATTTTTTTTAAACTTGTAAAAAGTTATTAGAACCATTCCAAAAAGGAATCTTAGACATTAACCTTTGAAAGCAGAAATTTCATCAAACATATTTTTCATACTTTTATTTTGTATTAAATTAGGTCAAAATACGTGGAAAATATTAGATTTAGCATTTTAATAATTTTTGGGTATGAAATACAGTATCGAGCACTGATTAGAATTAATAGATTTAAGCGAAACAGTTTTTTATATTTAAAATTTCTTTCATTTACAAAATCAATTGGTAAATAATAAGAATTTTAACTGTTACTAATCATGAGTAACTATTTTTTTATATTTTTGAACAAATATAATTAAGAGAATCTGGGAGATTTTAGACTGTTTTTCATAATTAAAAATCCAAAATATATTTTGACTTATAATTAGAGTATAAGAAAAAAAAATCCATAAAAAGGACACCGGTGTCCCTGCTGCGTCAAAGGGTTAATTGAAGTAAACTTTCTTAATCAAGATATTTTCGTAAACTTACAGATACTTAAAGATATTTTTCTTGTTATAGTAAAAAATCTCAAAATTGTTGTAAACTTCAATATAAAAATCTTTTTTACAAAATTCTATTTATCTAGAATTAAACTATTTTTAAAAATTAAGATGACAAAAAAAATAACATCTGAAAAATGTAACTAAAGCGAAAATAGTAGAGTGAAAGAAATTTTCTTTATAATAATTTTTCTTTGTGTTAATGAAAAAATATTTAGAAAAATTAAAACTTTCTGATAATGGTAATTAAGACAAAAACCAATGTTAAAATTTACAGATATGTATATAAAAAAAAAAAAATTTAAAAATGGTGATGCTCCATTGTAGCATTAAAATTTGTAAGCTGTTTTAATGTAGTATATTTATAATTTCTAACTTTGGTTTTTGTCTCTTTCTATAAATAAAATAGTTTTTTGTATTTATTAAAATAATTTGTTTTATTTATCATTGTAAATTCTAACAAATATTTTAACATTCCAGATCCTATTGTCTTTGCATCTTATCAGATGAAATCATTTCAGTCTACTAAACAATATCGTCACAAGTGCAGGGAATGTTCATACGCAACTGATTATACCTCATCTTTGCGGTGCCATATGAGAGTACACACAAATGAAAAACCTTTCATTTGTAATCATTGTGGAAAATCTTTCACTCAGAAAGGCAACCTTAAAGCTCACCAACTCACGCATATGAAAATTTTTTAATTTTTGTATACATTTTCTTTGTTCCATTAAAGTTTGTTTTATGAAATAGTAATCACATCTCTCAAAATTCTGAAACTCAGTCAATGTGATGAATGTGAACCATTCCCTCCAAATTTAAGGTTTGTTCAAAATTTTCAAATGGTAGTGAACTAAAGCAAAAAATTTTACACCAAATGAAATTTTTACATACCTTATCGGGATTTAAGAGCATGACTGTTTGTCGACTTGACCTTTTTAAGTGGTGGGCAAGATACTTTTAATTTATTAAAATACTATTGCTTTAGGACAAATATCTTTTAAAGCTATGGGAATTCTGTAGTTGATGGAGGGTATGATGTGAACTTGAACTAATATTTATTTTTGTTTTACATCTCAAAAAGTTATGGTGATTAATTAAATTTATGCTAGCCATTGGATAGGCTCTGATATTGACTTGTTTGGTAGCAAATCAGTCCTTTTGATTCGTCATCTTATGGGTATTAGCAGTACAGTATATGCAACAACAGGTTGAATAAGGTCAACGTTAAAGTCTCCAATAATTTATGAAAAATGACACATTTAGACTCGTTTAATCAGTAGGAAAACATGACAGGACACCATGTTTTCTTTCTGATGAAGATTTGCCAAAACATGTACATGCTGTAAAAATTTGTGATTTGAACGTCGTCCTCATGCAACCTAATCACATTGCATTATTTATTCTATATTTTTCTTAATATAGAATATGTCATAAATTGGGTTCTTTAATTTCCTTTTTTGCAACTACTGTTTTTAGACCCAATAAATTACTAGTGCTACAACATGTTTGTTATGAATTATTCTTACTTATTAGTTTGGTGTATGAAAATAGTAAAGATTTTTCATTTGTTAACTTAAATGATGATTTTTCACTTATTAACTAAAAATTTGAACAAGTATTCGATTATTTAAATTTTTTTTCCAATGGTATTTGCTTTAAATGGCTTTATGATTCTATAAAAGACTTTATAGTAATCAGTTTAGGTTTGAAATATTTTTTTAAATATCTTTATTTTTTACATAGCATTAGAATTATGAATTTGAAGAAACATCTGCATCATTTTATAATAATTATTTTCTCAAAATTTTGTGTTCATTTTCTTGTTTTAAAATATTTTTAAGACATTTTTCTTTGGTAACAACTAATTGTACATTAGTTGTTCTCAATCTGAAAGGTTACTATAACTGATATCTTCTAGAAATGTAAATCTAGAGTTTTCCCATAGTTATTTAAAGATAGGAAAAATCAACCAAATTGTTAAAAGAAGGTATGTATGAACCTGACTTTAAAACATTTTTTATAGAAAAGGGTTATATTTTTATATGCCCAGATGTAATGGTGTATCGTTCCAAATCGTGCAAATTTGTGTCTATGTTATAAAATATCCCCAAAATGCTTGATTTTCCTCATATTCTTCACTGTTTCACATATTCAACATGTTTACTTTTTTTAAATATCTCTTATTCCAAAAATATTTGAATAACTAGATATGCTTCAAAAGTACACTCAATTAAATAAAAATGAGAAGATTAGTAATTGTTTAACAATCATTTAGTTTGTCATAAACCTTATCCCATTAACAATGATAAAAGCGACTTTTGATACTATATTCGTTTCGTGTTCTTTGGCTGTTCTTTAAAGCTTCTACATCTTGTGAAATAATTCTTAACAAATAATATGCTATTTTTATAACACAACTGACAGGTTAAGCTATGTATATTTTTAACCAGCGCCTTCTATTTAGATTAAGATAAGTTTGTGAAAGCAGGAAGCATAATCGAAAGAAAAAAAATTATTATTATTTAAGCTATTTGCCCATTTTTAAGTCCCTTAGATTCTGTTACGTACTTTTAAAAAATATATATTTACTTCAAATCTATGGTACTGAAATTTTAAATTTTTTTTCTTACCAAAATAGCTTTGAAAAATACCCTAAATTAATTACAATATTATGTTTAATGATGATACTGCAGTTTTGCAAATGAACGAATTCCTATCAGTATTAGATACTCCCTCATACACCAGCCTGATAACATGAAAAAGACTTTCTACCTAAATACCATCATGTAGTTAATTTTACCATAAATGGTTGTGTATTTAATATTTCACAATTTCTGATGTGGACCTTTTTTCTTTTACACTTTTTATTTCTAATTTGTGGACCTACTTTTTCAACATCTAAAAACAATAAAATTATAAAATAGAAATAATGGCACTGTTTTAATTTTCATTATTTATTTCATGCATAAGAAGATTTGTAAGTTTTTCTATTTTATTGCTTTTATGTAAATTAAATAATATGTTGTTAAATACTTGGCTTTTCTGTTCTCTAACATTTATCGGTCTATTGTTCTTTAGCTTAAAATATTTTCTAAAAAANACATACAGACATAAAATTCTGTTGTCTTTTTAACAGGAATTGAAGAAGCTTCTATTGCAGAAACTAAGTACTTAAAGTTACAAATTTATCATCCATTGAATATTGTCCTATTTTGAAATATACATACAGAATGTAAATCTGCAATTTACCAATTCGGTTACAATTAGGACTGGGCTATAAATCGATGTATCGAGACATATCGATTTAACGCATATATCGGCAAGACGATACAGCAACTTTCATTCAAGGCGATGCATCAGAAATCTGATTTAAGCAGTCGAGTAAAGACAGCGAGCGCAAAACGATATAGCGATATAAGACACGCAAGGTTATAGGATAACGATATAGCGATATAAGACTCTTCTCGTACGTTCCGATGTCGACTCGCGCTGTGGAAGACGATGTTCGTTTCGTTATATTGAAATGGCCTTGATTGGTGAGCTGTAGAATCAGAATCAGAGTTTTGAGAACACATATCGTTATATCGCATGTTCCTTTTCGCACCTCTTAGCTTTTTTTTTCTTTGTCGCGACTTTTCTTGTAGATTATTTTCAGTGGGACTAACTTCGTGATCGCCGATGTTACCTTGTTCTGAAGGCAATCTATTATTGAAAAGAATATATAAAGAAGAGTTTCTTCATTAACTAGATAAGTTTCTTTTTTAAAAAACTTCTTTTTATTTTTAAATGTGAAAATTATCGGCAATCTAATTTAGGAGGCCATAAGAATTGAATTTGTTAAGTAATTTTTTACTTTCTTTTAATTTATTAAAAACTTTTTGAATGAAACTTCTAATAATTTAATGAGTTTTTATTACTGATTTTAAATTTATAAATCTTATTGTTTTTATTTTTAGAAATAAAGTTAAAACAAAATTTATTTTTGTCATTTGGATTTTGACATAAGTCAATCAACTTCGTTTATACAAAAAAAATTTGAAAGGTTTGCCTATTTTATTCATTTTTTTAAATCATTTAGCACTTCGTTTTATTAGAGAGTATAATAATTTTTCCTAAAAAATATTCTTTTCATATTACTTGTTAATTAGCTAAATGTATTATCGAATATCACAATTTTTTTATTTTTAATAAATTAAATCTTACTTTGCTTTTTGTTCATAATTCGGTCATTATTTAATTTAATTTAATTATTTATCTGAAATGATTTGGTCCCGCAGTGGACTGGTCGTTAAGACACGGTTTCCTGCAGATCACCGAAGTTAAGCATCACTGGCTGCGGTCAGTTTGCGGGTGAGTGACCACTTGGTTCAGTCTGCGTAGGGACCGAGGGTGTGCGGTATTGGTCCTCGTTAAACTGTTCTACCGTAAAGTGCTTGACTTCGCGTGCAGGTCGTCGAGCTATCGAAGCGGGGGTGCCATCCCATCTGCAGAGGATCAAAATTGTGATGGCATGTCTTCGGATCATCCTCAGGGATGGTTCCCAGACCGTCGCCAATAGCCCATTGTGCAGCTCTAGTGTGACGTAAATGAACTATAATAGAACTATAATAACTGAAATGATAATAATAAAAATTAATGTTTTAAAAGCGTTTTTTTCTAAAATTTATTTAGCACTTTGTTTTAAACATACAAATAATTTTTAACGTTTCATTTAAAAAATTTAACATTACGATCGAACTTAATAATTATGTAATTATTTATGCATAATAATACAAGAAAATATTAATTTGTAAAAAACGCTTTAAAAAAAGTTTTGAACACTTTGTTTTACGCGTATTATGAATTTCTAAACAAACATTTCAATAAATATTTTAATTAAGATTTGTACATTGTAGTCAATTTATTTAATATCTTTCTTAAGCAAAACATATATATCTTCAAATTTATAAATTGATTTAAATCAATCTGAGTATGAAGTTTTGATAGAAATCTGACTTTCTGTGCCTTACAAGTAAATGAAATTCAAAAATACTATATCGCGATACATCGCTATATCGCGATGCAAAACTGACGATGCATCACGATATAGAATTTCTAATATCGCCCAGTCCTAGTTACAATACATAAAGAGTAAAAATTCAATTAGTTTGTTATAAAAAAAATTTTAAAAAGCTTGTATGAATTTTTTCAGTAGTTTTTGACATACCCAAGTCTAATCAAAATAATTAATGAAATATATTCTTGCTTTTTCAATTATATATATATTATTACTGTTGTACCAAAAAGAAACATGTTTTATTTATATTCCCAAAAAATATATTTAATTATCAAAATTATATTATTTCTAACCTATTCTTACATATTTTCTGTTTACGTAAATAGTTTGACTATAGAAAAAACTCCCTTCGCCGTGAAGTCTAAGGCTGCCTTGTGCTATGGAAACAAGAATTGGCATATTTCAAAAAGGGGAGCTTCTCTCTCGGATTCCTTTTATCTTGCCGATCCGAGCAAAAATCTGTCTTATATTGACTCAACACCTCTATGAATGGCAAGGATAGTTCTCTCTATAGATAGACTATAAAGTGTTCATAATTTTTTTATAGTAGTATTAAAAAAAATTATGAATTTTTACTGTATAATCTAATAATTTAGATTTTTTTATTTTTGTACATAGGTTTTAGTTCAGTTTATTCACATGTAAATAGTCCTGCAAATTTTCATGATGGACCTGTGTATGATGCTGCTTATTTGGAAATGAAGAAATTGAAACAAATTTATAAATGTAACCAATGCTCTTATACTTCTAGAGTAGCTGGGAATGTTAAAAGACATTACTTAATCCACACTGGTGTGAAACCATATATTTGCAACTTTTGCGGAAAGTCTTTCAACCAAAATGTGACCTTAAAATGTCATGTGCGATCACATACTGGCGAAACGCCGTATCACTGTGATAGATGTCCCCAACAGTTTAAAAATAGATCTGGTTTAATCACTCATTTAACTACAAAACATATTACTAATTAAATTTTATGTGAAATTAGAATGTCAATAGGCTCACCGGACAAAAAATTACACACCCCAAAAGAAATGGACCATATGCCTGAGCTAGAAGTAGATCTTGGGTTGGTTCTCTGAGGCGACTACTTGCATGAATCAACATGTAAACTTTAATATTCTGGATTATCAGTGTTCTTTCAATCATCAACTTCATGATGAAAACGCTACAGATACCATCATTTTTGGGGACGACCACTATGAAGTTTATCTGGAAGCATATATGTCTGATTTTATAAACAATTAAATCTCAATTCACCTGCATTATCTGCAGTAATCTTGAACCCTTTAGAAAATTTGTGGGATAAGTTGGAACATTAACTAAAATGCCAAAATCTGCATTCCTACAATTAAGTAGATTTTTGTGATCAAATTCACAATTGGCTTAAACTGATTGTGATAAACGTACAAGATCTTGTGGACTTGCACTCTAACTGTATTCTGGCAGTTATCACTTCCAGAGGCTGAGTTACACATTAAATTATGTTTTTCTTGATTTCTATTAAGTGACTTATAATTTTTTGTCCAGTGATCTTAGTGTTGATAATTTTATTGTACATTTACTTTGTGATAATAATTACTATACTTTTGGACTGTTGCAAAAGCAACTTCTGCTTCTTAAATGCTTAAAGATAGCACCCAAACATATAAACTTTGTTGGGTTGTTTGGAACTTTTATGAAAATAAAAGACTATTTTATTTCAGTCTGATGCAATAGCTTTTGCTATCTTTCTGGCAGTCATAAGACCCCATGCACAAAAAACTGATCCAAATTATTTTTGACCTCCTTATTTGAAGTAAAGGATTTACTAAACTTTGTAGACAGCCCATTTCTCATCCCGTGATGACATTTGAGAAGCAAATCACGGATAGTCAAATCTAATCTCTCAATTATCTCAAGAGTTGCACTTTTTGTGCATGATGTGGTGCATCTTAATTACCCAATCGAAATTTAGCAAACCAGTTTTAGTACTGGTACCACACGTTCTCCATGCACATTGAATACATTTTTTATCTTTTTGATAGCAAAATATGCAGAAAATGTTGCTTTTCAGTTTCCATGTTTAAAAGGGCACCAAACAAAATCTACAACATAGAATCTATCAAACTATTTTTCACAAGCAAGCCTTCCCAATAAGCTATCAAAAGAGTGAAGTTGGGTGAGTAAAATGTAACTAAGTTTCCTGTTGAGAAAAAGCTAAATTACTTTTTGAACAACCCAAAAAAAAAACACGAACATTTTTATATTTTCTTCATTTCTATTAAAAGCAACATAGGATATAAACTAAATATATTCATTAAATTTTTTATTAGCACAAGCAAATGATAAAATTTAACATTTGAAGTCTATGAAAATGTTAAGTCTTTCAATAGCATCTCAAATTTCCAAAACTGACAATAATCGATAATTTAATCTTAAAAAAAAGAACATGTAGGTCCCTATATCCTTTAATAACCAATTTTATAGTTACATTACTTTCAAAAAATTAACTGTGTGATTATAATTGTCCAAAACTAAACAGGCTTTCAATTTAAATTTTGAAAAGAGAAATATATATTTTCTGGAAACTGAAATGTACTTGTGTTTATTTAGATATCTTTACAGTTCAGAAAATTCTGTAGTGAGCAAGAGAGACAGAAATTACTATTGCAACAGTCCTGTATCTTGTTTTGCATATTTTATATGGACCATCCATTTTTTTTGACATCTTTATATACACAAGTATAATAATTTAAAAGTGTGATTCAAATATTGGAAGTTTTAAATGAATACATTAAATTAGATATAAGTGCTATTTAAGTTACACAGCATTAAAAACAAAAATGTTTTTTAACTTATTAGTCTTGGTTTCATAGTTTTATTGACAAAAAAAAAATCTTCAAGCATACTATAGTGTTATCCTTACCTGCTTGTTTTATTAATTTTTGCTGAAAACTAATCACATTTATCTTTTTTTAAATAAAAAACACTCCATTTTTTTTTTTGTAGGAAACAAAAATCTTTGAACGGATGCTTCTTCCCACCTTGAGTTTGCTATTGCTTACTATAATAATTTTAAAATATTCATTCTGAATTGCATTAATCTAATAAGCATTACATTTAGAGGAATAAAAATGCATTTAAAATTTTTTTTGTTTTGTGCCTTTTCTATCGTCCCTAGCTCATCTGGTGTAATGTACTGTATAAATGATTAAATAAAGCTAAGTATTACCTATCTTGAAATTTTAATTGTTTTATAGCAAAGTGTATGCTTGTATTTGTTTCATGAATAAATATTATTTCAGTTAGCTGTAAATTCAATTCTCATTTATTATATTTTTGTGATTCTATATTGAGTTAAACAAATTTATGTAACCATAGTTATAACATTTTATATTTCAGACTGTTTCACAAGTAACATAAGGCCTAAGTACAGTCGGAGCTCCTCATTTCTTCGTGATAAAGAAGTAGATAGATTTAAATGCAGTTCTTGTTCATATTCTACTAATTATATATCTAACTTTAAAAGACATCAAGTAATTCACACTGGTCTGTGTCCATTTTCCTGCAATATTTGCGGACGAGCATTTAATCAAAGAGATTCTCTGAAACGACATTGTATCACTGTACATTTTAAAGTTGGTGTTTAATAAATGGTTTAAATTCAAAATATGTCTCTCTTAATTCTGTTAATCATATATTCACTCATTTATAGCCCAGATTTAACAAGATCATTATCAAGGAAATTTTAAATAAATGGTTTGTTAAAATGACAATTTTTTACAAAGCAGCAACACATTAACCACTGCAGCTACTTAAATTCTCATTCAACAGATATACATATTTAAACTATGTTCTTAAAAAATGGCTGTTGCTAAAAACCTGAGGAGTTTTAGAAGCAAATAGTCTTACATTTTAAGTATTTTGAAATAACTGTTGCAAGACTGGCATCATTGTGCCAAAAAGGATTCACGAAACTGATAAATCTATCAATATGATGCTGAATTGTATAAAATCTCCTGTTAGACTGTTTAAACATTTTTTGACATTAAAATGGTTATTAAACAATCAATTTTACTATATCAGTAAAAAATAATTGCTTCAAATCAATTTCTAAGGGCCAGAATAGCCTGGTTGGTAGGAAGTTTGAATCCAGTTGGCCAAAGAATCCCAGTGTATATATGGGGCACATTAAATCTGTCAAGGTAAAGTCCTCCAAGTTCCCATAACAAATCAATACCTTTGGGGGGGGGGATTACCACAGGAGTTCCCTTGTCTTCCGAATTGGGTTAAAAATTACAAGGCTACAATGTTTAACATTGGTATTTGCAAACTCAAATTTGGGTCCGCTGAATGGCTGTTTAATGACGGTCATAAAATCTACTCAATTTCTTATTCTGGACAGCTCTTTTTGAACAAAAGATAATAAACTGCTTATATATAACATGATTTAATGAATATTGTGAAATTAAATTTAATTTGTGTTATCTTACACAATGGCTGAACATTGGCGAAGCCTGATGAGCTTCAGGGCCAATTGAACTCATTTTTTTTTTAAATATGTATTGCTAAAGTCTTAGAATAAGTTAATTTCTTCAGATAAATTTTGAAAGTGAGAAATAAGAGTGTTGGCATACATCAATTCAGTATAAAAAATACAAAGTTGACAGGACTGTTTACTCACGCATTTATCTCAAAATTCTAGGTCGAATGGAATAAGCAAATTTATTGCGTGGGTTTCATTTATTTTCATAAAAAAATAATGCCTGTCAGTTTCGTGAAGTCAAGATGTCTTGTATTCTTTATTATATACTCGCAATTAAAGATAGTTGTGGAAGTTATAGTTAGTTATACAGAAATTATAGTAGTTATGCAGAGGTCTTTGTGTTCAGATTGAGTTTTTTCCTTATGGAAAAAGCGTGTGGCAAGCTTATTCTACTATTTAACACTGTACCATAGATGTGTCACACGGGCATGATAACAGATTGCTAAGATGAACAATTATATCTTTTCTAAATTTAAATAGAAAAATATTTCTGTTAATTAATTAGAACTACCAAATTTCACCACTGTAAATGGTAAATAAAACCATAATTACTAATAATTTTAAATAAATATTACGTAGTTTTAGTTGTGATGAAAATTGTAATCATAAATCTTTCGCGTTTTATTAAAAAAAAAGTAAATGAAACAGTACACAAAAATACAAAACACAGTTTGCTAATTAAAAAAAAAAAACTTTATTATTATTTTCAAGACATACACTGAAAGGTTAGATGAGAGCTGATGAATTTTGAGGAAATATTTGAAAGAAAAAAAAAGTTCATGAATTTTTGAGCTTGTCTGGCAAATTCTTTCCAACATTTCAGACATGAAAACTACTATAAGGCTTATAAAAATCTAATTTTGGTTGGATAACTTCCTGATGGCACAAAAGAGAGAGAAAAAAAGAAAAAAAAAAGACTGAAAATTTCTACTCAAAGCCAATCTACACTAATATATTTCCCCTGACCCTGCAAAATAAATACATTTACAGAATATCACTATATACAAAACATGTATATTTGGACTTCATATGAAAACGCTACTATTTTTTGTACATGCTTAAGATGTGTGCCCATGGCTAAATAAACCCAACTTTACTAAAGACAAGATTGACAAATATTTGAAAGAAAGGCCATTCAAAGATAACCTACCTATATGTTTCCATTAAATATAAATTGTACTTAAAAATATTAATAGCATGGAACAGATTTGTTATAAGTCTACAGCTGTTAGGTGATACCAACTAGAATTTCCCCCTCAAATATAGGTCAACATTGAAAATAATGCCTTAAAAAAAGTGGCTTTGAAAACTAAATAATGTTCAAATTTATGTTTGGTATAGTCAAAAAATAATAAATACATTAAGACAAAGTTATAGACATTAAAGATTACTTAATCCAAATTATGGTACAATTTTGATAGGAAAGATGCTGTAGACATAACACATGCTTAGCTATAAATCATGAAATAATTAAAATGGCAAATAGCAAAAATATTAAATTGCCATTATGCTTCTAATTTTTAAAACTATAAAAAAAAAATCAAATATATACAAAATAAAAAAAAAGACTGGGTAATCTCCATTTATTTACAATACTTAAAAAAAAAAGTAATAAGTACTTATTTAAATTATTCTCCTAATAAATTTCCACATAATTGGTAAGTCGTCTTTGAAAATCCCCATTTGAACCACAGAATTAACCAAAGTAAATGAATCAAAACACACATCAATCACGGCACGCATTCATCTAATGACCCCTTTCAAAAGAGCCAAAATGTGACCACATCAGCACAACTTACACGGAATGAGTTTGGATTTAAAAAAAGAAACGAAAATATACATAAATTTTGGGTATGCCTTTTGTAGTCTCCAAGTTTCGTTCAAGAAGAGCAGGGCCTCACACCATCCACACATTTGGCTTTGAGGAACCCTAGAGAAAATGGATATACACAATATGCTTGATGTTAAAATAAAATATATTTCAGCACAAGTAATATAGCAGTTGAGGCATTTAGTTTTTTTTTTAATTAAAATTTTACCCCAAATAACCCGGTTGCTTTCCTGCATAACATACTGATTTCTTCCCATGCTATTCAATTAAAGAAGGTATTTAGAAAAACTTTTTATATGACAAGCTTTTCTAAATACTGTGAAGGTTAAAAATTTATGAAAGTGAAAAACTAAATGCCATGTGTGTATAAATATATGAATTACTTATGATAAAAATAACAAAATAGATTTTACACAAATTAAAGCTAACAATTCAATTTATGATGCATTTTCAAAACACTTTTCTATAGTATAACATTACAAAGATTTTAGATCTACAATCAGAATAGACAACTATAATATTGAATACCGGCCTAAAAGTGAACTTACCTACAGTCTTTCATTCAATTTATCAGCATCAGGATGTTTTTTTTTTCTTCAAAAAAAGCTAGAAAGAACTTTTTTAAAGAACATCAAAATTATTGCTGACAAATTAATGCCTCTTATTAAAGCAAAAATTTCTGTCAAGATCCTAATGCTGAAATTCTAACTGAAGTAGAGGGAAAACAGATAAATTTTAAAATTCTTATAGTTATTTCTAATTCTTTAATGGATAGTAACCAAATAGTTTAACTTTGAACTTTGCGCCCCTTTCATAAAATACACATTTATTAGTTCAAATAAAAAATATTTGATTTTTTTTTTTTTTAAAGAAAGCAAAACGTTTTAAAAAACTTTTTTGTAATTCCACTGACATAACTAAAATCTAAAAAGTTATAATAGTTGGCGCTTTTGTAAACAATATTTTGAGCTTAATACTGTAAATAATGTTCATTTATAATCTATTTTAAAAGCAAAAAAGAGATTACAAGAATTTATAAAATCCATAATAACATGTTAGTTTATTTAATTTTAAATTACAAACTCCCGGTAGATTAGTTACCTTTTTGTTATCCTTGTTAATACTTAGTTCTTTCCTGTTGTGTCTTGACAATTCTTTTAGTTTAAAGATAAACTTATTATTTAAACCTTAAAAATTTGTTGAAGCGTTTTATTGAACCCCTATTAATGCATATTTTCCATTCTGGATCATCACTGCATGAATATTTGTGAGTATACGACTTGGTTAACAGTAGATAAGGTGACTTTAAAATCTCAAAAATCAATACCTGTATACAGTTGATCATCAGCAATTCTACCATGCCACAAGCTCATGAATTAACAATAAGTTCTTCTTTAGTATTTTCAATTAAGCAAGGTACTCCATCACAGGAACTGCTTTCAGTATTTATCTAAAATAACACACCTAGTATCATTTTTCTTCAAGAAATGCAAATATATTTAAACACTACAACATATGGTTCAATTAAAAAAATAAGCCTATTTACTATTTATCACACATGTCTCATATATGCCCCCAGAGAAAGGAGGGTCTGAAATATCAAAATCAGTTTAACTGCTAAAGGGGGAAAAAAGTTCAATTTTTTTAAAAATTTAGTTTTATCATGCAATCAGACTGGTTTTTATGCTTTTCATTCAGTGTTTCTCATAAGTGATAAGCGGATTTGAATAGAGTTTGACACTTAAAAGTGCATTAAAGTTCTTCTTTAGTATTTTCAATTAAGCAAGGTACTCCATCACAGGAACTGCTTTCAGTATTTATCTAAAATAACACACCTAGTATCATTTTTCTTCAAGAAATGCAAATATATTTAAACACTACAACATATGGTTCAATTAAAAAAATAAGCCTATTTACTATTTATCACACATGTCTCATATATGCCCCCAGAGAAAGGAGGGTCTGAAATATCAAAATCAGTTTAACTGCTAGAGGGGGAAAAAAGTTCAATTTTTTTTAAAATTTAGTTTTATCATGCAATCAGACTGGTTTTTATGCTTTTCATTCAGTGTTTCTCATAAGTGATAAGCGGATTTGAATAGAGTTTGACACTTAAAAGTGCATACATTTACAGGCATCTTATACTTTACAGATTTTGTCATGCTTATTTTCCAATAATTATTGTTTTTGTTTCTTGCTTTAAATAAACGAAAACTATTTTTTCATTAATTTTATAGATGTAATCTTTAATGCGTTTATTTTTTATAATTATTTTTTAAAAAGGACAACTTTTAAAATAATGCATATATTTTAATGAAGTAAAATACAAAGTTTTATACCTGAGAACTGCATGTGTATATATCACGAATTATACTTGCTTTTAAGTCATAACTAATTAGCAGAGAGAAATTAAATTTTTTCAGGCAAAAGAAGTCTATCAATAGAGAAAGAAATGAGTGATACTTCAAAAAGACGTATTGGCCGGGGAATGTATCCTGTGTCAAAGAAATAGTTACAATTATCATATAATGAGATAGGAGAGTACAATTTATGTTTCGTTAGCCGTAATTCCTTAGTTAACTCTAAAAGTATCTGTTCGTCTACACGTACAAATGAAACAAAATATTTCTCCTTCAATCATGGTCTTTGAAATTGCTCAGGCACATTTCTCTTTTAGGAATTTAGTTATCTTCTCTCGTGTTTAGGACTGGGCTATAAATCGATGAATTGCGAAATATCGTTTTAAAGCATATATTGGCAGGTCGATATAAAGACCTTCGTTTAAGGCGATGCATCAGAAATCTGATTTAAGCCGCCAATAGTGACTTTCGTTTTAAGCGATGCATCAGAATTAAGCTGCCGACAGTGACACTCGTCTTAGGTGATGCACCAGAAATGCGGATTTAAGCCGTAGGTACAATACAACACTCGCGCTTTAACGATCTAACATGTGATGATCCTGCGCATTGACGAAGACAATTTTGATTTCGTCTAACTGCAGAGATGTTGATAGCGCCTGACTACGAAGACTATGTAAGTTTCGCGATGTTTTGAATGACGAAGAGTGAATTGAATCGGTACTCCCGGTTTCGTGTGAGGATCAGCATTGAAATAGCTTCTATGCATAGCTTCTTTATGCGCCATTTTTGTCTCTCGGATTTTACTTTTCTTGAAGATTATTTTCCGCTGGACTTTCGTTATTTTGTGATCGCTGTGCACTTTAATTCACCGGATTTAACGATTCTTGTAAATTATTTTCAGTAAGACTTTTGCTACTTAGCAATTGTTTCGTTGTGCATTAATTTGTCACTTTTTTTCTTTTCTGATTTTTTTTTTTTTTTTTTTTTTTTTTTTTTTTTTTTTTTTTTTTTTTTTTTTTT